GACATGTCGGTATATATTTGCGTTCACGAAGTAATAAATGGCAAAAGAAAATTGTTTTCGTGAATGTAAAGATGAAGAAGACACGGGTCATGACTTCAGCAAAACATTCATTCATCTTTCAGGGTGTTTATCAAAAGTTCATTTAAACAACTTCATGGCTTATTGAATGTCATCGTGGCCTAAAGGATAAGACCGGTGCATTCGTGCACCGGTGGTTGAGCCATGTACCGGTGTTCGAAACCCAGGCAGGTGCCAATTTTTCTAATGAAATACGTACTCAACAAATGTTCACGATTGACTTCCACGGTGAAGGAATAATATTGTGTAATAAAAATCAAATCCGCAAAATTATAATTTGCGTAATTACTGGTGGTAGGACCTCATTTGAGTCTGCGCACCACCCTGCCTATTTCTGTCGTGAAGCAGTAATGCGTTTCGGTTTGAAGGGTGAGGCAGCCGTTGTAACTATGCTTGTAACTTTAGAACTTATATCTCAAGGTGGGTAGCGCATTTACATTGTAGATGTCTATGGGCTCCAGCTACCACTTAACATCGGGTGGGCTGTGTGCTCGTTCACCCACCTAAGCAATAAAAAAAAAATGTTTATCAGCAGATTCAATAGGTTTTTTATTAGTCACGAAGGCTTGATGTAGAGACAATAATGGGTGTCTAAAAAATTATATTGTGTGAGTCAATGAAATAAAGTGTCTATAAAAAATGTTTATTAATTTTCAAAGTACAGCATTTGGGAATTGTATTTCATAAAAACGGTTCGTGTAAATGTAAGTCTTCGCGTTCGTGGGATTGATTTAGTCGACCGGTAAGATTTCTAACGACGGCTCGGCAGATCGACTGCGTGATGGTTGCGATTTCATAGTGAATAATTTCCATTAAACTTGGCAGAAAAGTTTATTATTAAACTTTAGACTTGAGATAATCCCACTGTAGAAAGCAAAAGAGTTAAATCAGGACGGCGTGGAGGTCAGTTTATGGCGTCTTTCCAGGAGATCAATTTGCCAAGGAAAATTTCACGTACAGCAGGAAAATTTCACTGCAGATGTTCATTGGAGTATTTGAGATTGCCCTATTTTGCTCCAACCAAATTCTTTGGTTATACTTTCGCATAACGCTCTGAATTTATTGTAACCGAACATTTTGCATCCTCAAAAATGAAGGCCAATCATTTTTTGCGCTGACATTGCAATCCATACTGTCATTTGGTGAAAGAAGTGGCCTCTCCTGCTTGCGTTTTAGGTTCGTAGCACCCCAATAGCGGCAGTTTCTATTAAGGTGATAATGAGCTTTATCCAAATATGTATGTTACTTACAAAATCAAGGCTCTATCTATCTAATTTTCAAGTAGCCAGACTATTCTTTATTGTACACACAGTTAAGACAGTAAAATAATGGCGAAAGGTCATAAAATGGCGAGCTTAACTCAAGAATTGAGTTATCTATCAGCTAACCGTTCTTAAAGAGGGAGAGCTTTACACAAGTGGGACTGCATACAAGTATGCCTCCGCGCCTCCCAGATTCTATGTGTTGATGCAGTGAGCTAAACTATTTCATTTTGAGACCCTTTGTATTATTACCCTACTCAGGTCGCAATATACAATTTAAGTTAACGTTAACTGATGGTAATGAAAATTAACTACTCCACATGGTCTTTTGTTTCAGTATCTATAAATATCCAACCTCACATAACGTCCGGTTTATATGTGACGTAAACTGAAGTGAAATGGATCACCCTTCGCCTAATAAATTCGTAACTGCGAAATAAAACCGTTTGGAGTTTTGTTACCACGTTTTACGTGTTTCTAGATTGTAGCTAGGTCTGCGAATGCGGTTGTCATTACATTGTTGATTATTAATTGTTTTTTGTTAGAAACTTAAGATTCTTTTACCTCAATCAATGAACGAATTCTCTTCGATACGTCAATGTATAGACTGATTTATACTTAGATTAACCTTGACTAAAATCGTGGAGAAGTTAATCCTTTGCGTTCTCCAAGATAAGAATGAAAAGGGTATGCTTATCTAAATACCAAGGATCAGAGAGAGATATGTAGAGAATTTATTCACTTTATTATAGTTACTTTTACCAAAAGACTCTAAGATTTAAAATTGTAAATTGCTTTTTAATTTTGGGCCGCATTTTACGTAAGTACAGTCGGCAAGTTATATTTTCACTGTTTTATGACCAAGCTATCTTCTGATGTCAATCGTCTTTGGTAATTGTAGATTTGGGATATGTTAATGCGCTTAAGTTTTTTTTTGCCATGAAGAAATTATCCCACGACCCTCCTGGTGTTGAATGTTTGGAATGGAATTGATATACATCAAAAACGTAAATACTACCACCATCCACATTGACAGGTGAGTTCTAACTCTCTGTTCTGTTCTACAACGGCTGCTCCAACCTTCAAACCGGTATCTATCCGTACGGGCTTGTAAGATGCCCCCTGTCCACCAGCAAATTAATTAGCACGTATAAGTTAAGTACGTATCTCATTAGAATAATTTGCAACTGCCTGTTTGATTCGAACACCAGCACAGTTTATCGCTCGATACACCTTCGTACCGGGCGTTGTCTTGTTTAGGTTAAGTAGTAAATAAGAGAAGGACAGTATTACTAAGACATTGGAAAACAGCACTGAATATTAATTAAATCTCAAATACTCTTACTGAGCATATTGTGAGATAATTTCATATTAAATACGGGGGCGGCACTGAAAATTTCGGGAATTAACGAAGTGACACAACATTACTATTTAAAAATGTATTTATTTCTTTTCGAAGTATTCTCCGCGAAATTTGACACATTTTTCCATACGATGGAACCAATCATTGAAGCAACCATTCCATTCGGAAGTTGGGGTCTCCAAAATGGCCGTTTTGTAGGCGTCCAGCTTCTTTAGGTGATGAAAATCTCTGTCCACGCAATTTATTCTTTATTTTAGGGAAAGTATAGAAATCATTAGGGCTTAGGTCGGGGCTGTACGGCGGATGGTCTAATAATTCTATGTTTTCTTGCTCTAAAAACTCTTTTGTTCTGTGCGCGGTGTGAGAACTCGTATTGTCGTGATGGAGGATGATGCGGCGGTTGCAGTTCTCTTTACGGAGTTCAGAAACGACCTGTGGCAAACAAATGCTAGCATACCATTCTGCATTAACCGTTCTTTGTCCCTCAAGAGGAATAGTCGTAACATGGCCGGTTTTGGAGACAAACGTGGCCACCATTTTTTTTGCAACACTCCGTGAACGAACATTTTTTGTTGGCTTTAACTCATTTTCGAACACCCAAACTCGTGACTGGTTTTTTGTTTCGGGTTCGTACGCGTATATCCAGGATTCGTCACCTGATCCAATGTTGTATACAGCATTTGAGGATCCTGCGTGGAATCTTTCGAGAGTTCTGACGCACCAAGTAACGCGAGCCGCTTTTTGCTCTTCACAGAGCGAATGCGGTATCCATCGGGAAAACAACTTTTTTACACCTAATTGTTCATGCAAGATTATTTGTATTTGACTCATGCCAATGTCTAAAGTTGCCTGAATTTCGCGGTATGTCACATGTCGATCTTCCTCAATCAGCTTACGCACAGCATCAACGTTTTCTTGGGTGACTGCAGTTTTTGGACGACCTTGACGGGGATCATCACTGAGCTTGACACGTCCGCGTTAAAACTCAGCAAACCAGCGATAAATTGTGGTTTTGGATGGGGCTTCATCACCAAATGCAGAAATCATCCGGTCAACACACTGTTTTTGTGTTAAACCACTTCGAAAGTCATAATTAATCATCGCTCTTGAATTTTCTCGAGTCAATTCCATTTTCTCAACGACTAAACAAGTTTGACAAAACCTTGTGACAAGACCGAGAATCTTTTTTTAAATAAATAAATGGTATTCGATTTTTAAAACCAAGGAGTTTTCAATTAAAAAGATTTTAATATGACAGGAACAGTGGAAATATTCCATTCCCGATACTTTTAGTGCAGCCTAGTATACACTAGATAATGACTTTGAAAATACTGAGCTTTGCTCGTTTTTTATTGATAAATTGTGTTTTTTTTTAATTTATATTTAAATACGAATGACATATTGATAAAATGATGAAATATGAATAATATTTTTCGATCTTACCGACAGAATAATAATAAAATATGAAATGGTTAATTAAAGAAAAAATCCAAATTATCGATAAAGTTGATTATTGAAAACACGAATAAAACAACATTTTCTGAAAATAAATCGTAGCTAGATCGATTTATCGCCCCCGAAATCCCCTGTATACTAAATTTTATGAAAATCGTTGGAGCCGCTTCCGAGATTCAGATTATATATCTATTTACAAGAATTGCTCATTTAAAGGTATACGGTATTAAATAAAACAACAATTTTGGGAAACTTCTATTCATATTTTTTTCCATGATACGATACAATACAAAACTGGGGTTATATTTTTTTAAATCCATAACAGTAAATTTGTAAGTAAATTATCAAAAGATCAAATTAAATTAGCCATAACAATGTTTATAGTGAATGCGTAAAATAAAATTGTAAATGATGCTGATTAATTATTTATTTGTTTCTAAGATACTCGCTACAAGCTTTTTAAAGAAAAAAATGTCTCAAGTAGACACAAAATAGGTACTTGACTCCGTGACGGTCGTCAAAGAAAAATATAACTTAAATTTTAGGAAAATAAATTTGAAGTGAGAATTTTTAAGGCTCTTAAGTCTAGTGACGGGTTCTTTGATAAGCCATTAAAATTTTCCGTCGAACATTGAAATGCTAAATGCTTTCCAATTACGAAGGGAAGAAAAATATAACGCAAAAGATTTTTTTTAAATATGATTTTTTTATTAGTTCAGTATGCGTTAAGCTTAAGGATAACATAAAGCATGACAGTGGATTCGAAATTAAATAAACATGAAATTAGACCAAGTATTTTAAAATATTGCTACGCAGTGAAACCAAGGTATGTACATCACAAAGTAAATAAAAGGCTTTATGGCAGAAGAAACGCTTTTTCTTAAATGTCTTTCGGATCGAAAAGAAATCTAATAAATGTGAAACAAAAAGTCTGATTCAAATTTAAATCAAATCAAGATTGTCCTTGCCTGAAAACCGGCAACGACATTTTAAGTAGACGTGATCCGAAACCTTACGACATAAAAATTGTCATTGATCAATAGGATATCGAATGTCGGGTGTAATAGAGCGACATCGGCGGTCTATCAGACATTCACACTAGTCGCGAATTTGACGCTCTGACACTACCACTCGGCTCGCATCTGTCAATCCGATCATTCCGATGTTATTGATGCATTTCAATTTTTATTCGTGAATAAAGGTTTTTTTATCTACCAACCTGCTTTGTGTTGAGTTTTTCGAAAATAGGTTGTATAAAGGACGAGTATTGGCTTAAATTTGGTATTTTGGTAATTGGTAAAAAAGAACACAAGAAGTCCATAACAATGGACAATAAAATTGAAACAAAAAAGTCTTATAAAGACTCTGTAACGATTTTACTGTGGTACCAATTGCAGTATGTTTAATAATTATAGCCATCCAGTTTTCGGTTGACGCTTAATGGTTTTGACTTCTTCAATCTTCTTGACCGGACGAAGCGGCTCTGGCGATGCTGGTGGTATGAGTTGCTCGGTGCTTGATGTTGATGTTAGGCGATTCGGTGGCGAAGGCGGGGTCGGTGGTCGCTGTATTAAATAAATTAAACGTCGTAAACATTATTATAATTAATACGTGAAGCAAAAACTTTGTATCCCTTTTTACGAAAATTGCGGGGACGGAGGAGTATGAAATTTTCCACACTTATAGTGAATATGGAGAAGAAGTGCACAATGCTAATTTTTTTTTTTAAATAATGCATAAAAGATGCATAAGAAAACATTACACACACTACATACCATGTATTTGACGCACACACGCATGCATACTATTTATTGTCAAACTTTTGTACTTGACGTCTGTGGTCAAATTGAGAATAAATTAAATACTGTTTGTCTTTATTTAAAAAAAATTATAGTGTAGTCTTGGCGAAATTTGTGATTATAGAAGTATAAAATACAATCATAATAGTGTACAAACTTACAATTATAGTCGAATTTCGACTACTGCGGGACCTCTAGTTATTATAATAATATCATTTAGGGATTTTTAAAATATTTTCGCGCGTAATTTGAGCCTTATTTCTAATGTAATGACATTTAGCAATTTGATTGAAGTTAATGAATCGATACTGAGTGCTGAGTGCTGAGCTTTCAATTAAACGCAGTAAATTTTAAAACTAAACATTTTGTAAATCTGTAAATTATCTATATATATAAAAATGAATTGGTGTTCGTTAGTTTTTTTTTTATTGCTTAGATGTGTTGACGAGCTCACAGCCCACCTGGTGCTAAGTGGTGACTGGAGCCCATAGACATCTACAACGTAAATGCGCCACACACCTTGAGATATAAGTTCTAAGGTCTCAGTATAATTACAACGGCTGCCCCACCCTTCAAACCGAAACGCATTACTGCTTCACGGCAGAAATAGGCGGGGCGGTGGTACCTATTCGTGCGGACTCACAAGAGGTCATACCACCAGTAAAACTCGAGAAAGGCTGGACCGATTTGGCTAATTTTGGTCTTGAATTATTTGTGGAAGTCCAGAGAAGGTTTAGAAGGTAGATAAATATGAAAATGCTCAGAATTAAATAAAAATAACAATGTTTTTCCTTTGACGTGTCCCCCGTCGGACGGATTCCTTTTGTTTGTTTTAAGTTTATTTTATACAAAAGTTTAGGTCTTTTATTTATCGATTGAGGCACTACGAAGTCTGCCGGGTTAGTTAGTTATTAATAAATTTTGTTTGTTTTAAGTTTATTTTATACAAAAGTTTAGGTCTTTTATTTATCGATTGAGGCACTACGAAGTCTGCCGGGTTAGCTAGTTATTAATAAATTTAATATATGTTGTGATTATTGAATGAATAACGAATTATTGAAAGAATAAATTGAAACTTAATACTGTTATAATTTGGTTAGAAAATAATAATACGACAGATTTTAGTGGCATACCGTGGATGTGGAAGTCGATGGCTGTGGGGAAGTGGCTCGCTTTGGAGTAACAGCTTTCGGTGGAGAAGGAGGTTTGGAATCAGTCACTGGAGCTGGGGCGTGTGTTGGAGGAGTACATGGTGTCACTTCCATGCTTGGAGCTAACGGCGCCTGTGAACATTTGTAATTGATTACTCGCTATGTTTACTAACTATTACGAATCACCGGTCTTTCTATAGATTCGGCACATCAGTCGTTTCCAGTATTCAATATAGGACAGTTGTTATTTAAAAATACTACTGTTGATAGATCGTGTTTGAAGCAGGTTCATCGCGTGGTCATGTACCAACCAAAAATCAAACCTGCAAAACTATAATTTGCGTAATTACTGGTGGTTGGACGTCTTGTGAGTCCGCACGGGTAGGTACCACCACCCTGCCTATTTCTGCCGTGAAGCAGTAATGCGTTTCGGTTTGAAGGGTGGGGCAGCCGTTGTAACTGTACTGAGACCTTAGAACTTATATCTCAAAGTAGGTGGCGGCATTTACGTTGTAAATGTCTATGGGCTTCGGTAACCACTTAACATCAGGTGGGCCGTGAGCTCGTCCACCCACCTAAGCAATAAATAACTTCTTTCTGTGAAGTAATCATGTTTTCTGGTTTGGAGAGCGGTGCGGCCGTCTTACACTGTGAACAAGACTTCGAAGTCGTGTTTTAAGGATTTACTGCTTATCAGGTGGGACGCTACCTGGACCTTAGGGCCTGGTAATACAGCGTCCGGATATTCATTAGGGTAGATGTAAACACGACCTCATTCACCTCTAGCGTCTACTACATTCATCTAGTTCATTCTAGTATCAGTGTTATTTACTGATTTGCCTTTTACTTTCTGAATTATTTCTTCACTGCCCGTAATGTAATGTACCATTGCTAGTAATGGTGGCCGGGCGTTAATGTGAAGAGAAAGATAGTACACAGATAGTAACATAATACAATTAAAACTTCTATCTTCTCATCATCATCATTCTCCTGCTCTTCTCCCAGTCACCTGGCGTCGGCGCAACATGTTTTTTCCTTGCATACTCCTCTATCGTAAACCATTTCTTCGCTCACGCCCCTCTTACACATATTGTCTTTCACGCAATCCATCCATATCTTCTTAGGTCTACCTCTTCCTCTATGTCCTTGCACATTCATAGTTAAAACTTCTATCTTCTGAGCCCAAATATGTTGACTAAGTTTTGGAAAAATCTAAAAGAGAAAAGGTGTTGTTCCTTACCTTTGGTTTGCTTGGCGGCGGTGGAGGAGGCGGTATGGCACCTTCAGTAGGCTTGATCTCCGGGGCTACTGGTCTCGCGACGGCTATATCCTCTGGCGTCTTACCGTCATCTACAGTTGTTTCTGACGCCTGCTGATATGCAAACTGCTTTGTAAAGGCCACTATCTAATTTGTTTTTGATATTTTAAAGCTGTTTGATTAAGCCGATCATCATCTGAATTTGCGCTCATTTGACCTGACCTGACTTATAGTTTTTACGTAATTTTATAAAACCCAAACTGAGAAACGTTTTTTTTTATTTAAGATACCGTTAAAATACTAGGGAAAACCGGATCAACCGTTTGTCTGTTCATATTTTACCATCGCAGCGCAAAATGTCGTATACCTAAATCCAATGAGATCTAGCCGCAAATATTTAAGAATATAAACTTTTTACAAAACACTTTTATTTTATTACCTATACATAATACCTAATTACTTTTACTGGTGGTAGGAGGTCTTATGAGTCCGCACGGGTAGGTACCCTACCTATTTCTGCTGTAAAGCAGTAAAGCGTTTCGATATGAAGGCCGGAGCAGTCGTTATATTGTCAAAACTGAGACTTAAAGCTTGCGTTTCAAGGTGGGTGGCGGTATTTACGTTGTAGATGTCTATGGGCTCCAGTAACCACGTAAGGTTTGCTGAGAGCTCGTCCCCACATCAAAGCAATAAAAAAATAAAACGACATATATGTCAAGTTACATTAAAGCATATTTCTTCATGTCATACCTGGTGGTCACCTTGTGACGGGGGTCCTGGTGTTTTCCTTTTGATAACCTTCGGAGGTGATTCGCCGGTAACACGTTTTGCCTTCAGTGGACTTGGTTCTACGAAAGAAACGAACTCGACTTAAAACACGCTTGGAAATCATAAGATTTATAAGTATTTTTTGTGGTGGAAGACATTAATTTAACTAAATAGCTAATTTTATTTGAACTTGTACATATGCATATGTGATTGTTTGTGCAAATCGTTCATCAAGCATCACGGATCACCTTTTTATTTGGTTTGTATATTTAAGTGTAAAATGAATATACCAGGTTGTGGAGAAGTCGCTCCCTCAGGAGTGGGGCTGCTCAATTTTGGCACAGGACTTGATGACTCGGGTACCGGACTGACTACTTTAGGCACTGGGCTAGGTCCCCGTGATGATGGATCAGGCGAGGCCGCTTTCGCCAGTGGCTGTTAACAATATTCAGTTACAAAGATTTATTTTTCAGGTTTATTTATAATAAAATAACTTCTTTTTACATGTAAATTTATCGACATTTTTACAAAATTTTCAGGAGAGCCATTTAAAGCTTAAAATTTGGACAAAAGATAATTTACTTTAAAAAATATAATCTTCTTCAGCTATTGCAATAGAGTGAACTCAATCGAAGTTCAATTCGAACTGTTCATGCTAATACCAAATAAAACGCATCAACCACCAGGGTTTAAGCAAAATGTCGATTAAACCGCCTTTTGCCCCTAGATATAAAATTGTTGAAAAAATCCAAATTTCGCGAGTCACACGAAAAAATATCGAGAAAGGTGATCAATTGATTTAAATACTAGTAATTGTTTTGTAAAAAAAAAAATCGTACCTTGGGAGGCACAGGACTTGGAGTACGTGGCTTGGGAGTGATAGGTCGACTTGCTCCACCAGCAGACAGTAGGAGTCCAGCTGCACCTTCTCCTAAATCAAGTAAATCGTATTTTCAACCTCAGTCATGTTTGTATCGCAACTTCCACAAAAGTAAATACTAGGCGAGTAAGTTGACAATCAACTTGCTTCTAGGCAATCACTGAAGTCTTTTAGATCTCCCGGAAACAAAAGTCTTATTTATATTTATTTAGAGGGGCGTTGATTTAGAACAATGCAAAATTGTATTAAAAAGTTATTAGATAAATGTATGAAAATTAAATAATGTCTGATACATTGCTAATGTGAGATGAAAATTTTAAATAATCAACATTGGCCTTTCGGTATGTATACCGTTAAGGTTAATATTGATGATTACGTATCGTCCATGTCAAAAGCTCCACATCTAAATCTTATCTATATTATTAATTTGGAAAGATAACATTGAATCAAAATTGCCTTTTCTTGGGCCGTTAACGAGGTGGATCTGGCTTATAATACTACACCATCACCAAACACCACTACCTACTATATAAGACAATAAAACAAAAGACCACCTGAAGGTTTCATAGGGGATTTAGTGGCAGGAGAATTAATGTCGACTGGCTCTCCTACTTCAGTCGAGATATCTTTTATCAGCTCCAGCAGGGTGTGTCCGGGAGTCACTGGCATTTCTATAGGAGTACCGGCCCGAGAACCTGTACAAAATTAAATTTAGATAACACGCAGAGTAACTTGTACAATTGTAAATCCTAAACTATATATGGTAATTTCATCTGTCGCATTTCGAATCACTAAAAAAATTTCTGTCCACTTTCAGATAGTTTGTTAAATTCCTAAGCTTTCTCGTACGCGACCAAATAAGAATAATTTCTATAGTTTACCTCACTTGATTTACACATACACACGAAACCGCGACAGAGTCTCGTAATCTTTGATGCTATTGATTATATCATAGCTTCTGTATTGGTTCAGTTCCCGAGACATCTAAAATCTAACTCTCTGCCTATCTTTCAGCCCACAGACATCTGCTACTGGACATAGGCCTCCCCCAAGTCCCATTGATCGGTCCTGCGCTGTTTGCATCCAGCGGATCCCAACAAGGCTTACACCATGATGGGGATCCGCTGGATACAAACAAATACAACCCCTCCCCTCTTCAACATGGCTTACATCCAAAATGTACAACGATAAATACGAATGGAAAATAATCATGTACCTGGTAGGGGAGACCGTAAGACAAGTTTTCTGGCCTCTTCCATAGCGCGCTGTAGATTCTGTTGATTCTTGAAGGATTCCCGACTGCGACAACGTCCGATTTGAGATCTGTTGACAACAAAATTCCTTAAATACACTAACTATTTACAATAATAAAAGCACTGGGATATAAGACGGATTAATAGTTTTTGGTTTTGGTTCATTGTAGAACAATTAAAAACATTTGTAAAAAACTGAGACTTGGAACTCATGTCTAAAGGTGGATGACGTCATTTACGTTGTTGATGTCTACGGGCTCCTATGACCGCTGAATACCAGATGGGCCGTGAGTTCGTCCATCCATCTCTCCCATCATCACGTAGGTAATAAATAAATAAAACAGTTAAGACTAGTAATTTATTTTTTCCTTGTATCCTTTACGATAACGCCACAAAATTTTGCAATAGACGTTTCTGTATTGCATGTTAACTTACGAAATACCCGTTCCCGCCAGGGTCTGGTCCCATTTAGCGTTGGTAGTATTTGCGATCGCCATCTTGGCAATCCTGCGGAACCTAGAGAGTCCGTCTTCGTTTGCAGGCTTCTCCTCTTCGACTCCCGCCACGGCAATTTGGAAGTCTTTCATCAGACGTCGCTCCCAAACTTTTTGCTTGCTGCCGAGAACAGCTGTGAAGTAATAAGAATGATATTCAGAAATTCAGATAATCTTTGCTACGTTGAACCTTACTATAATTGAGGCCGTCAGCGCAAAAGTGGCCTAACCCACAATTTTTCATATTCATGCTTATATATTGCAATTTATTTAAAATATAACAAATTTTGATGGAAAACCGGCCTATCCATAGTTTCACCCAGAGATAGCAGATGGCTTTGTAAATATTATTTTTGCGTATATTATTACTGCTTACGAAGCAGTTTAAAAGTAAATTCAAACGTCATTATCTCCATACTAAATATGATAAGCTTAGGCCACTTTTGCGCGGACGGCCTCAATTATTATAGTGGCATCAGATAATAATTCAATTATTTACCCCAGCCCAAAGTTATTAAAACAATAAGGTACTACATACTTACTCTTTTCTTTTTTGTCAGTGAAGGATACATCCATTCCGTTCCTATCGAACACTTCGAGGAGTTCATATCGCAACGCTGACACGTCTCCCTTCAGCTCGTTGATATCGTCTTCTGTCACTGGCTCATCATCCATCTTTCTGTGCATGGCGGAGACGTATCGCCAGACAAGCGCACGCATCACTGCCGTGTAACGGACATCGTGTTCTTTTTCTTTTTGTTCCTGGTAGAAGCGATGATAAATGGTTTAAAATTAACATTATTACTGGTGGTAGGACCTCTTGTGAGTCCGCACGGGTAGGTACCACCGCCCCGCCTATTCCTGCTGTGAAGCAGTAATGCATTTCGGTTTGAAGGGTGGGGCAGCCGTTGTGACTATACTGAGACCTTAGAACTATATCTCAAGGTGGGTGGCGCATTTACGTTGTAGATGTCTATGGGCTCCAGTAACCACTTAACACCAGGTGGGCTGTTAGCTCGTCCACCCATCTAAGCAATAAAAATAAAAAAACGGTGGAAAAAATTTCGCTTTTCTGGATCAAGATCATTTAATTTGATTCGATACGCTCCCGTTTGGTAATCGATGTATTAACATTGTTAATCATTGTCATTTACGCGTTAGATGGATAGCGTATTATGATCCTAAGCGGAAATGTACCCTTCATATGTACATTTCTTATTAGACCGTCGCAGCTGTTGGAATTGTAAAAGAACGTCCATCTTCATCGCCCGCGAGAGAGAGAGAGAGAGAGAGACAGAGAAACGAGCTGTGCCGGTAAATACAATATAATATGCTATACACCCGGGTAATCAAATACATTTGCAGCCAGTATACATTTTTTTTAAGGATTAATTGTATTATCTTAGTTTCCAAAGTTTTATTTAAATTTGTGTGTGTTCCAACTTTAAGGTTTTGTTTCAAAATATACCTATTTTGTTACTTTGATTTTAAAATTGTAAAAATAACGATAACAAAATTTTAATGTATTTTGAAAATACCTTTAATTTCATCTTTCTTAATTTATCCTTCTTTCGGAGTCCAAGCACCTTTAGGAAGAGTTTCGGAGTTGGCATGATATTAAATGGTGGTGGTAGAGTAGCACTCTCCTCGAAATAGCTCATCCAAAGGCGGGTCCTGGCAAATTTCCATTCAACATCCGAGTGCTCCTACGGATCCAACAACATGGATTACGAATTTGTAATTGACGGAAGTGGTGTAGCTGTTCTCTAGCATTCCTGGTATCCAGGGATAGCCGTGGCCACTTTCTATCAAGAGTCAAAAGCTGTTTTACCACTTGAATCTATTAAAAAAAAAACTTTAAAAGAGATAATAGGGTTGTTAAATCACTTTCTTTTTTAATTCTTCGACGGAATTCCAATTCAGAGAGTGAACTTTACAATTAAAATAGTGATTGCATTTTATTCATGAGTTGAAGCAAAGAATAATAGAGATTCATTACGATTGTAGTTATCGTGACCGATACGAATATGCTGTGCTCAAAACACGCTGGCACATACCAATTTTTGTGAAGAGAAATCTACCTAACACGTTTACAAAGCCGATTGTCCTCTATACATATAAATAAAATTGGAGTGTCTGTTTGTAATATTGAAATAACCGCTTTTTAGTAAATGCACGGTACATACACCTAATAACATTTTTTACAATTTTTGTTTGTCTGTCTGTCTGTTTGTTCCGGCTAATCTCTGGAACAGCTGGACCGATTTTGACGAGACTTCGCTGATGATATAAGGAGTAACTTAGGCTACTTTTTTTAGACTAACTAGGTTCGCCCCGCGGCGTCACCCACGGTACGACAATAACCGCGGGTAACATCGCGGGACTCAGCTATCAATAATAAAATTTAATGTTTCCGAAGCGAAGTGAGGGCGGATCGCTAGTGCTTTAATAGAGGTTTAATGTCGCCTAGTAAAATTAAACCTAAAAAACACAATATTCTTACTGGTAGTAAGTAGGCCACGTGATGAGTTTGCACGCATACGTACCATCACCAGTTTGTAGAGTCAAATAGCCGTTATATTAAAAAAATAAGGAAATTTAAACCACATTCATTTCACAAAATGAGTGGCGGTATTCAGGATAATCAGTTAATACCAGATGAAAAGTCGTTCACGCATCTAGAACATTCAGAAAAATTTCCACATAACAAAGATAATTTTTCTCTCACTAAGAACAGGTGCAGACAACGAAGCCAGGAAACTGCGTTGTTTCTTATTTCATTTTAATATTATCAGAAATAATGTTATTACATGTTGCATTACGCTGTGTTGCAATTTTAAAAGGAGATACAACAATAAATAGAAATTATTGTATTGACCTACATATCTAGAAAACTATTTACACATGTATGTCGGAGTACAAACGAAGACCATAATCTGTATCTCCACCATAATAATATCCGTTATTCAGGATCTAAGTGTGCCTGTTTGCGGGGCGGGTTTTTTTTTGGTAACATTAATAGGGGAAAAGATCCTATATTAGAATGAACGTTCCATTCGTTAGCAAATGTAAATTAAATACATAGCTTTAATCTAAAATAGTCATTGAATGTATATTGAGTTTTAAAGCAAACCGACCGGTACGTCACTCTCGCGGCCGTATGCCCGCTCGCTATACATAGTATCTATGCCCATCTTTTTAACAGTGTATAATCTATGTTCCGGGCGCTTCCGTTTTGAGTGTGAATAGCGTGCGCCCGCGTCTGAATGTAATTATCGTTTAAAATTGAAAATTGTTTGTGTTAAAGAAAGATTAGAATTCGAAATTCGATACTGGTGACTGACCCATAGTTTTAAATACCCCTCACTATAGTTTAAATTTATTTGTGGCACCCTGTTTTAGGTATCTTTTGCACACGCGTTGTTCTTTCTTGGAGCGTCAACAGATGGCGTGGATGATGGATTGAGGAAGGAATAAGGAAAAGGAAGTCCCAACTGAATTTATGTCTACATGTATTGAAAATTATAAAATCTATCATTTGAAATTATTTCTTGCTTCTAATTGACTTAAGCTTATCGGTACAGAATTTTCAGGTGACAAAACGTAATTCCACACGACTACCACCGTCTTGCCTAATTCTATCGCGAAACTTTTTTGTTCGTTCGAGTTTTGATGAAATAGACGTTAAACTAAGATTTCGGCTTCACATATTCAGGTGCGTAGGCGGCATTGATATTCTGATATCTATACATATAAATAAAATTAGAGTGTCTGTTTGTAGTATTGAAATAACAGCTTTTTACTACATGCATATGAATATATATACGGTACATACACCAAAATATTTTTTTTTACAGTTTTTGTCTGTCTGTCTGTTTGTTCCGGCTAATCTCTGGAACGGCTGGTAGCTGATGATATAAGGAGTAACTTAGGCTACTTTTTTTTAGACAATAACCGCGGGTAACATCGCGGGACTCAACTATCAATAATAAAATTTAATGTTTCCGAAGCGAAGCGAGGGCGAGTCGCTAGTCTTATATATAATGCTATATCATGAGAGGGTTCCATCACCCGCCTCCCGGGTTCCTTATAAGGCCAGGTCAATATTACTATATTAATTATCAATGTATTATTAAAATTTATATATCAGTTAAAAGCGGATTAAAAATGAGATTTTATTTAAAGTTGCCGGTGTATTTATTGTATTATAATTAGAATACATATATATAGATAACAGTCATGTATAATGCGGAGAGTTCTAGGTTTTGTTAAACACGCTTATCTCGTCCAAAATTAATAGAAACTACAGACAAAGCTTCTCTGATAAATTAATTCTGCCACTGTCGGTCCGCAAAAGCAATTTTCAAGGAAAAAGATAAAAACAATCCCATTTCGCAAGTTCATGTTAATAAGCGAATACAAAATGTTATTTAGTGTCAAAATCACTCGTTCATTTTAAGCCAGCAAAGGAGCCTTTTGTACGTAATTAATTTTGCTATTTCCAAGTTCTGACCCGTGAAATGTCTTTAGTATAAAGCAGCTTCTGACTCTATTTACCTTGCATTCAAGGCGGGATCTGCAATTTGTTAATATTTAAATACCTCGGTCTTTCAATGAAGATCAAACAGTTTTTTATATTAATGTATGTAGTTTGCTTTGAATGGCGTTCATACCATTCATTTTCAAGATTTTTTATTCACGTTCGCAATTAAAATTTTAATCTCGTTCGTTTTTTTTTCTATCATTGGTATCTATTGTTATATAAATATCAGGGGGCAAGTTAGAACTTTAAGAAGGTAGTAAATTAATTTTAAATTGCCCATACCAACCGAACCCTGCTCTTGTAGGGTCATTGTTAGCAAACTCTCCCAGGATGAGCCATAGCTGGTCGCAGGCCATGGTTTCAATACCCCCTTAATCTACCAACGAATAGATAGGAACACAAACTTTGCTCTGAGCTGACTTAAAGTTAGAAAATATAAAAATCTAGTACTCACATCGATCATAGCATAAGAGTTAGACATCATAGCGATGAGCAGGTTCAATAGGACAATCACGTTGATCACGGAGTATGAACCAAACATCAGGAGACCCCAGAACCGGGTGTAGCTTTTGATGCCAGCTAGCTCGAAGTTCTCAAGCCCGACCATGCCGAAAGACGCCCAAAAAAGAGATTGTGACGCTTCGAAGACGCTGGTGCAAAGACGTACAGTTTATTGTTTAAATATTCCCAACCAGTAGAGGAAATTGTGTCAAAATTTGATACTAAGAAGTTTTTAGGTTTACTTGAATTTCGTACAATATTATTAATACAGAAATAAATATAGCTCTATTATTACTAGTATACAGTATTATTAATTGTCCTTCGTATATTATTTATTAACCCAGTTAAACGTTTGTTTGGAAATATGACTTTATTACCATTAAAAAAAGTATATATCAAACATAATAATTTGTGATATGAAAGTGCTTGTGAAAGTAGCCTTTACAAGCATTAAAGAATAAAAAGTGGTTTTGTGATAAATTTCGCGAGTTTCTTAATTTAATTTAATAAGCGTGGTAATCCATGGTTGCTCTCAGAGTCATGCAGTCCACATCGTCGATTTTCAGCGTGTTCATTTTAACATTTATGTCTTCTTCAAGTTGTATCTGGGTTTGCAGCAAATAGCGTAGAGAAGCCGTTGCTTCCTGCAGCATTTGTTGGAGCTGTTCTGCACTGTGACGCAGCATTTCACATTCATAGTACAAAGCTTGACCGGGTGGATCCCTCACTAACTCAGCTCCTACTCTTTGAGCCCTTTTCCCCAATCTAGTGTGAGCTAAAGCCGTGTTTCCTTCTTTATCAGATAACGCCTTTTGCAATTGAAGTATATTGTTTTGCATTTCAACAATCTTTTGTGTTGTATCACGGTGCATGTCCTCTAGCTTCGACTTAGTACGTTTCGTATCTTCAATTCTTTCATGAAATGCATGATTACATTTGTTATAAGCTGTCCAAAGATCGTCAATTACTTGTTTCAAGATCGTGTCAACGAACATGCGAATAGGTCTTGCACTTGTTACCTCTCTAGCGGCCATTTGGATATTTTTAGCTGAATAAGCGTTATATTCATCTGCAGATATATTGGCAGGATCAAGATTGGTATACCCTTCATATACAGAGAGGCACAAGTCAGTCGGTTTCAGAGACAAGGAACCTTTATCGATATCGATTGCAGCCTGTTTGTATTGTAAGTCACGATCCAGCAAATATCTTGTAGCTCTTAGTCGACGCATTTGTTCGTTAAGTTGTTCTAATACACGTTTCAAAAGACTTTGACCTCCAACAATTGTAGTGATCTCCTGTTGCAAGCATTGTTCAACCTCGTCAACAACTAAATCAATACCAATTCTTCCATCTCTTAGCATGAGACATTTTCGACAGATATTCAAAGCGTTGGCTTGTAAAGAAGCGAGGCAATCTTGCAAACGAGTTTTATACACGCCTAGAGCTTCCAATTCGATACATATTTCTTTCCTTTGAATCTGCAATTCACTTTTGTTGAACTCAATATCTCCGATTCGTTCTTCGATTCGTCTATCGCTTGTGGCCTTCATGATTTCCGATCTTTCGCCAGTCTCCTCTCGGACTCTTTTACACTCGCCCAGGATCCTGTCGGCTAGTTGTTGCTGGTCCTCTGCATTTCTGCAGCGCAAATCGTTGCTCACTTTCCATTCGTGTATCGTAAATTTTGGTGCCCTTGGTGGGATACATACTAAAGCCTGCTCTGATAGTCTGGTTGTAGCGATTGGTGCTCCAATTACGTTACGTATGCCGAATTGTGCTTCGCCCATTTTATATAGCTATTTTAATTGTAATTATGTTGTGGAAATTGGTTATTGGTTAATGATTCAATTCAACGGAATGTTTGTCAAAAATCAAATTGGCTTCAATCGATACAACAGTTAAACTATCACCATGGAAACGATTTGATGCGTTCTACATGATATTATTTTACCAATGCGTTCCATAAATACAACTACGTAAGTTATTTCATTATAGCTAAAATAAGCGATTTCTACAGTGTTTTTTTTAACAAGAAAAATAATGATGTAAACATTCAAAACCCTAATTTAAATGCTGTGTGTAAATTGATACTAATTCGAATAAGCATGACGGTTAATCAATTTCAAATGCTGTTTTTCTGGCTTTTAATACGAAACACCCAAAAGTCCCTACTTTCCGAAACTTCTCCATTTCATGCAGGAGTCTCCGGCATTGTCCCAATCAGGAAGTCCTCCGGGTAGGACGTAGCATTTTTTTTTCTCCAGATCCGCGAAGTACCAGAGCAGTTGATTTAAACCTGAGTTTCAATTACCAAAGAAATTAAGAGACCTAGACGATTTTCATTTTCAGAAAGAACTAAAAGATAATGTTATTAGTGTTTTAATTATTATTTTAGTTATTATTATCACATAAATAGGCACGACATTGAAAATAAATGGATTTATTAATTATTACTTGAATTATGGATGAATGAATGGTAAATTATATAATATCATAATATATTGCACTGACCTAAAATTCGCATGTCAAATAATGACGAAGCATACACGCTGCTTTTAACTCACCTATGTAATAACTCATTTTCACTATGCTTAACGAATAAAAGATTTCATAGTTTATAAATTTAAATAATTAAATATGTTCATTAAGTCGCTGACGGGCGTAAATAATATTCGTTTAGTTTGTTAATAATACTAACTGTGACGCGTGTGAGTACTGCATTAAGCAGTGTGTCATGTCATCACCCGCGGCCGATTATCTAGCCGTTGGTGTGATCAAGTAACCGCTCTAACTGGGTTGCAGTTGCAACCGCCATTCGAGCAGCTGAGGACCGGACGAGATGGAAACAGCTCACGAGACAGGCAACGGTCAAGTTTCAGGGACACGACCTTCAGCAATGAAGAAAGCGACGAAGAAGCAAAACATGTGTCAAATCTGTTTTAAATGCTCAGTTCAATTTGTACTCACCGCAAGCAAAAGCGAACAGCACTAAGCTGTAAATGAAGAAGAATTTGACGATGTCTATGACCATTCTACCAAGAGAAATCTGCAGCGGCCCGAGGTGAGGGTTGATAGAGAATAAGTGGACCAGTTTCAGAGCACTGTGGATTAAATTTTGACGTATTTAAATTATCTTACATCTACTTTTGTCGTCATATTAATATTGATGTTTTTAATAAATTACTTGCTAACTTGACTGCAAGCTTGACAATTGTGAATATAACTAACGTGTGACATCACGCAGTAAAACTATTTTTAACCCATATCATTCTTGTTAAACAGAAAAATGCATTAGTGATGTTCTTAACATAGTGTAAGCAACAACATTGTGAGTTCGCCCGGGTATGTACCACCACCCCGCCTATTTCTGCCGTGAAGCAGTAATGCGTTTCGTTTTAACGTACTTTATGGAGACTTAAGGTAAATAAATAAAGTGTTCCCGTAAAATATTACCTGAAGATGTTAGCCGCCGCAAACAAGCCCTCGGCGATAAGTTGCGGGTCGAACGCGTCCCAACTTTCTCTCGGTATGAACTTCGTTTGCTGATCCCTACGTATCTCAGCGGCCTGCTGGAGATACGCCGCGAAACGTAGCAAAGCCACCGCCACGTAAAGCGAGTTCCGAGTGAAATCAATAAAGTTCCACATATTACGGAGATATGAACGGATGCCTTCGATGTATATCTCCTGAGTTTCCTCCCAGATGAAGCCTGAAAGGAACGGCTGTTGAAACCGGGAGATTCAAGACGACCTTCTCTTACTTATTAGAAACTAGCGACCCGCCCTCGCTTCGCTTCGAAAACTGTAATTTATTATTGATTTCTCCACTATTTAATGGATGTAATTATACATATTCTTATAAAGCTTCCTCTTCAATCACTCTATCTACTAAAAAAATCGCATCAAAATCCGTTGCGTAGTTTTAAAGATTTAAGCATACATAGGGACAGACAGATATAGGGACAGAGAAAGCGACTTTGTTTTATACTATGTAGTGATGGCATATAGGTCATTTTACTAGTGGTAGAACCTAGAGTCCGCACGGGTACGTACCACCACTACGCCTATTTCTGCGTGAAGCAGTAATGCGTTTCGGTTTGAAGGGTGGGGCAGCCGTTGTAACTATACGGAGACCTTAGAACTTATATCTCAAGGCGAGTAGCGCATTTACGTTGTAGATGTCTATAGGCTTCAGTAACCACTTAACACCAGGTGGGCTGTGAGCTCGTCCACCCATCTAAGCAATAAAAAAATGCAATGCCCGTTACCTTGGCCTATGAACGGCTCAATAGTTAAGTCAATTTGAGTTTTTATTAAAACGCTGTGTGCATTTGTTTATATAATATTTAATGTATTTGCTTTTCATTATAATTTATGCTAATTTTAGCGATTTAGATAGTACGACGAATATTGAAGAATATAGACGACAATAAAAGTCTAATCTCAGAAAGTAAATGAGTTTCCTAAAAGGGCAAATACCTGCATGATTTCATCTATTATTAGGATTATTTAAAAATGTTCCGCTTATTATAACTTACCAAGAACATATACAACGACAACAAGTTCCAAGTATGTAGGTCCGTTTCCCCTTTGTTTCAGGAGTTCTTTTTCTAATTCTTTCACCATCCACTCCGGCCCGAAGAGCTGTATAGCTTGTACCTCTGCTCTTTGTGACACCAAGATCAATATTACTATGGAAAGTGTAAAATAGTGTTATTTTTTGGTAGCGATATCATTAATGCTCTTTTTATTGATTTATTTGGGTGAATGAGCTCAAATTTTGGCCTACCTGGCCTACCTGGTGTTAAATGTTTATTGAAGCCCATAGACATTAACAATGTACCACCACACACACATCTTTAGACATGAGTTCTCAAGTATCAAAAAAATATTTGTGTCATAAAATTCAAACATGCAAATTTTAAATTTAGTATTTATTGGTGGGAGATCCTATTGTAGTTGTTACCGTCCTTATTAATTCTGCAACGGAGCGTCCATGTCTGCTGGTGTGAGGAGTGAGACAACTTTTATATAATAACATTAAGAATTCAACCCCATATTTCAAAATGGGATACATTGATGATGTGAAGTCTGAGGTAACCACTTCTTGAGATAGTTCATCTATATACAGTGCGATAAAAAGAGTTAATAGTTTTATTCCTTTGCGTCATGTTAATTTAAAACAAGAATAGACCAATAATTTTCAGGCCAAAATTTTAGTTAATGTATTTACAAATATAGACTTCACGAAGTTTTTAGAAAATTGCAAAAAATGTTGGATCCGTTATAATAACTCTTTGATAACAAAAGTCAGAAGAATTAATAATTAGCAGTGTTGAAAAATAAACATCGCTTTATTATGTATTTTGAAGATTAGTAGTAGTAGTAGATTAGTATGCCGCCAAAATGATGGTAAATAGTTACCACTGCCTATAGACATCAGCCATACTAGGTTGCTATCAACTGTAATCGAAATTTAATCAGGAAAATGAACAGTCTCATTTTAATATTTAGAACAGTTTCATTCTCCATAGAATCAATTGGATGAAACTGGTGATTGGTAGCCCAGAGGCTGCAAGTACTAAAATTATTCCAATACTAAAAACTGCTTGAAATAATAACCCAAATCTCAAATATAAGAGACCTTTAGCTAACGCTTTGATTTGGAGTGTTATGACAATAGGACATTTTCGCAGCGATTGCATAGAACTGAGTTTTCAATGGCTTGAATTGGAACTAATCAAATATTGACGTTTTCTGCTAATAAACTATCTTCTAGTTGACATGTTTTGCATCTCAAATACATTTAGTGTACTGGAGCAATTATCTTATGTGCTATATTTATTGTTTACTTACACAAAAAGAATAAGTAACTAGAAGCGTGAATTAAGAACTTCATGAAAGGTTTCCTCATTAGTTTTCCGGTGGCGCAGTTTGGAGCTATCATGTACAGAGTGCAGTAGAAAGGGAACAATAAGGCGACGCGACAGATGATCATGATCTTCTCCATTGTAGTCTTACGACGGAATCCAGGGACACCTTCGTACCAGATAGAGGCCAGCAATTGTTGGATGTTAGGGTGAGCTACGAACTGTTAAAATAATGAAACATATAAATTTATAAACGCACAAAAAACGACAATGCATTGTTTCAGTAAATTCCAAAGTCTATTACTAGATATCTTCCAGTAGACCCGCAAGAGGAGTATTAGAATAATAAAAAGTAATAGGTGTAAAATTTTAATGGGAACGGTATACCTATTACAAATTCAATTGAAAATACAGTCCCACAAATTGTATTGTATAGAGTTCAGAAAGAAAACAGCAGTGGCTACAATTATTAAATAAAGTGTCATTGAGTCCTTTTAGAATAGATAATCCTTGTTAGTATTATTCATTTTGGTATTTTAGTATAAAGTATTTTAGTGTAAAGTATTTTGTAAGAACGTTAAATTCAATTGCCGGGAAAAATCTTTAAGTACCTTTTTCTGCTTAAAATCAATGGCCAATTCCAAACGTGCTAATTTCATGTGCTCTCCGTCAACAAAGGCTGGTTCGTCAGGATCATGATTGAGAATGATGGCCAACTCTTGGGAGCTTCGGGATTGATCGAGCAGATCTACAGCAAACAGTTGCGCCTGTCTACGTAGTTCCAGGTATTCCGCTTTACTTTCCTAAAAAAACAAGTTTAATATTTGTCTACATCCAAGCCAAGAATAGCTCGGCTATAGATGCGATTTTTCACAAAAAAAATTGCCTTACACATCGTTTTTAGTATAACAACTGCTGCACGTAATATTCAGTAATTTAATACTTTCATGGAAAGCATGCAAACTGACTGTCCATCTGATGGTGAGTGGTTACCGTCACTTATGAACATCAGCAATGCCAAAAGCATAGCCAATATCCTGCCTAAAGCAGGAAAATATGATATGAAAAAGCTAAGACACAAACCTGTTCAGCAAAGGCTAAATTCCTCAGTTCCCAAGACAATTCGAAGGCTGTTAATATAGGATCTGTCGAAGACAGAGCTATGAGCGACGGAGATGCCAAAGCTCGGTATTCATTGAGGCGCGCCAGTGAGTGTCGGAGAGAGTCCTCAGTAGATTGTCGGATACAGTCCTCGCAGCCACATCTAATCGAAAACTGTTTTTAATTAAATCAAAATTCAATACTTTAGTCTGTCCACATAAATCTGCCGTGAAGCAGTAATGCGTTTCGGTTTGAAGGGTGGGGCAGCCGTTGTAACAATACTCGAGACCTTTAGAACTTATATCTCAAGGTGGGTGGCGCATTTAAGTTGTGGATGTCTATGGGCTCCAGTAACCACTGTGTGCTGGGTGCTGTGTCTAGTGGGCTGTGAGCTCGTCCACCCATCTAAGCTATAAAAAAAAAACAAAAAAAACATTTTTATCTAACATATTTCACACACATAATCTTGAAAATCTGGGATTGATATGAAAAGTACAATTAACACGGTACGCACAAAGGCTCGTAATCTGGGAGACGAGATACTTTTTACAGCAAAACATAAAGAAAATTAAATAGAGAGTAGTCAGAGATGTATATCAATCTTTACAGAACAGAAAGGATAGAAAATATAAATTTTTTTTTTATTGCTTATATGGATGGACGAGCTCACAGCCCACCTGGTGTTAAGTGGTTACTGGAGCCCATAGACATCTACAACGTAAATGCGCCACCCACCTCGAGATATAAGTTCTAAGATCTCAGTATATTTACAACGGCTACCCCACCCTTCGAACCGAAACGCATTACTGCTTCACGGCGGAAATAGGCGGGGTGGTGGTACCTACCCGTGCGGACTCCCAAGAGGTCCTACCACCAGTGTTTACGCAAATTATAATTTTGCGGGTTTGATTTTTATAACACGATGTTATTCCTTCACCGTGGAAGTCAATCGTGAACATTTGTTGAGTACGTATTTCATTAGAAAAATTTGTTCCCGCCTGCGGGATTCGAACACCGGTGCATCGCTACATACGAATGTACCGGACGTCTTATCGTTTAGGCCACAACGATTTCAAAATTATAAATCAGAGAGCAAAATAACAGATTTGATACATATTTTTCTGTCTTTTTTTAATCGATACACACCCGGTTAAATCAGAATAGGTCTCGAGGCTACTGGTAAATAGGTAACCAAAAGAAAAGGGATGATGATAAATTTACCTGACGTCATGAGGGTTAGGCAAAGTGGCACCACGATCTAGAAGTATCTTGATTATTTCATAGTTGTTCTTATGAGCCGCGAGCATCAGAGGTGTTATGTCCGGAGTGAACATTGCTGTGTTTGGATCAACTTTTTGCCAGCTCTATAAATGGATTTATAATTAGTACCTACGTAATAAATGGTAATAATAAGTACCAGTATTTCAGTGGACGTAGTGACTGTCAGAGTTGCGGTAGATTATGTTGGTGATGCAGTAACAGCTTAGTGTAAAAATCACAATTCTACCAGTCAATAGTAAATTACTTCAGACATGAAATCTTTTACCGAGCGGATGTTTTTGTTCGGTAGACCAACTGCCAGTTTAGTTTTACAGAACGTTCTTATACCACCGTTTGAATAAGAGGATAACCGTAATTTCATACTGGTTATTGTATAGACACTTCGACCTTCTATTTCAATTTGGGCATGAATCATGTGGTGTTTGAGTTCCGGAAATCACTTACAACTAAATATCACAAATTATTTAAAGCCACGAGTTTTGTAAGCCATTTCAGTAACAACGCAGATGTCCAACTTAAGATACATAATATGTAAGATATTGCGATGACAGGTTCCCCAATTTTTAAGCTGACATTCTAGCTTTGTTGGATAATCAGGAGTTATTATCACGTATTAGAACATATTTCAATATTAGAAACTTTGATTGGCAAGATGTAGTTTCTGTTAAAATAATTAAAATTTATTTTGCAGTACTTGTAATTTTAAAAGCAGACTGATTGATTGATTACATATGTAATTTAGCTGTAGCAACTATAACTATGGAAATTTTAAATTTTATTTTTCAGTGCGGGTAATGAGCGACAAAACAATTTTTTTTTTAAGAAATAATAAAATTCATATGTATAATATATCGGTCTTACGTATGGTTCACCGTCTTTGTGAATTAACTCTTCATGCTCTAGTAACAATTCAACTGCTTCAACAAACTCTGCGTTGATTGCTTGCAGCAAAGCGTCTCTTGTTTCTACTCCCATGATGACGAGGAGTTCCACCATCTCTAAGTTCTCCCCGTCAATTGACAAGGTCAAAGCCCCTCGACCGAGAGAGTCTACGCAATTGATGTCGATGTGTTTTTTGCGGTGGCCTTTTTGGAGTAATCTGTGTAAAACAAAATTATTTTAAAGCAATCAAAATACATAATTATATGAAAAATATAATAGTTTGAAATTTATATGCATAATATAATATGTAAATGTAATATGTAATGTAAATTAGACGATATCAACATAAAATCAAAAGGCCAGCTACACGGATAAATTTTTTTTCTCCTACCTACGCCGAAAGTTCGGTTTTCCTTCCGCTGTACAGGGAAGAAGAGAACTAAAGGGAAGAAAGTGTTACTTTTTCTTCCTGGGTACAAGTGCGCATGCGCGTTAGTGTCTACGTCTGCTCTCACGCATCTAAAATTCTCCTGCATTGTTGTGCTCGGGTAATTTGCAATATTGTGTTTAGTATAAAAGTGAAATAAACAAAAGGCAATAAAATTTAATAGTGAAGTATTAAACAAAGATGAGTTCATCGACAGTTCTTATTTAATTATTAGTAGTTTATTTAAAAATAAAAAAACAGTTAAATTGTTTTTTTATGAGTCGGGGGGCTCCGCCCCCCCTACCCCTGCCAGGGCCTTGCCCCTGGACCCCGGCTCAGTACTCCACGAACTTTCGGCCTGATAGTAGAAAAAATAGTATGTGCACCAAGGGAGAAAAGTTGAACATTTCCTACCGCGTGTAAAATTGCGACCCGAGCCGAAGGCAAACACGTGTTCATTTTAGGATTCACAGTTAAAAATATAGGCGTTAAAGAAAATACCATTACTTAAAACTGAAGGCCAAAGACGTTTTCTCGAAATATTTTCGTACAAGGTCGATTTAATTAAAAAGAGATCGACGGTAATACACGATTGTTTATTTTTGTCTTTTGAAAGTAATTGAATGACGGTTTCAATCGGCAACGTAAGATTTTTTTTAGAAAATTGCTTTTGCTTTTCTGTTTTTTGTTTGTCCAAGGATTTACTGGCCAATAATAGGGTAGTAGGGTATCTCCTCACGTATACTGTAAAAGCTGAATGAAATGAAACTTATGAACATTTCGTAATATCTTAAGTTAAAATTGTTATTAGTTAAATTAGTTTATCGATTTATCTTTAAATGGCGACAAAAATATGTCAGTTTCATATATCTCTCTCATCATAATTTAATTACTATGCTATTCAAATCCACTAAGTTTCGTGCCGGATCTTCGGCGTGGGTCGCGATTCCGTTTCGCTGGTATATTCTGCGAAGCACTGCTCTTGGTAGGGCTAGTGTTACAAATTCTTTCAGTTTGAGCCTGTGAGTTTAATTACACGTTCGTGAGAAGCTGGAATAGCCCCTTAAGTTACCAGCGAATAGGTAAGAAAAAAAAAAAAATTCAAAAGTCGACTTATAGTGATGACTTGTGGCTTGGTCGTGACTACGTCAACTGTTTGTTATGTATTCGATAGGTCGAAAATTATTAAATGACAAAAAAAAAATACGAGATTAAGTCAACAAAATTAAAATAGTTTTACGTAAGTGTAGGTAAACGTAAGCGAAAGTGTGTTTATTTTTTCTTCTTTCGCATTGAAAGAAGCAAGAGATTGATATGATTTCTAAAAGTGTTAGTTATAAGTCACGTTTTTTCTTTTTTTTTTGACGTAGGCTATTTTTATCCCGAAAAAACATCTAACTCCTACGGGAATCTACACTGACATTTCCCTTGACCACTCGGACGAAACCGCGGGTAGCAGCCAGTTAAATTATATAGTGTCTAGGTACACGTTGTTGTTGAATCTTGACCTTTAACATAACTACTAACTTGTACTAATTTTATTACATTTGATTCAAACAATTGGATTAAAATAATCAGTTAAATCAATTATAAGCTTATTTCTAGAAACAATTTACGTTAGCATTAATGCTCAAATAAAACGAATTTTTAATGCATTTCTCTTCGATCTTCTCGTATTAGAAGCACTTTTCGTTAATTGAAACAAATATTTAAAGTCTAAGTCGCATAAAGTAATCAAAATCGTAAATGTCTCTCCATTACTACTGATTGAATGAACTGAACAAGTGATATATTGCGATGCGGATATTGTCTGAATAAGGTGACTGAGGTCTTGAAAGATCGCCAAGAAAATGACCACACGTACGTATTTATCAAGAACTACCTTTCTCGAAGATACGCTCCCGTGATTTGTGATTTATGTCGCACGGGTGAGATTCATATTGAACAAGAGAATCATAGGTAGCCTAAATATTCATTCCCAGAATTAAAGCTGTTTCCACAAGGAGTTTCATTAAGATCACTTCAACGGTTTGGGCGTGAAAATGTAAAAGACAGGGCTATACAATATTAATATAAAATTTAGGGTTGTCAGAGACAATCAGCGATGGGAACTTATTAATAGTGGTTCATTCGCTATTTCGAATTGAGATTCGTTTCTTTGAGATTCAATGAAAAAGTTTTGGATTTAATTAGAAATCAATTTAGTTACCCCACATTCAGAGCTGTCACCGTTGAAATGTATAAAAAAATTAAAACTAAAAATAATGATTTGACCTAACCTTCTCACATTTGCCATATCTCCTCTCTCGACTGCCAGCAAATACTTCTTTTCTTCCAAAGTAAGTGGTTTTGGGAGCACCGGTAACGGCATTGGTTTCCGGACGCATTCCAACTCAGGGTCGCCCTATCACATATTTCATATTAAAAGCATATTAAGGCGCGTCTAGTTTATTACGGATTATTATCCACAACCCTAGTGATTTGAAGTAGAATGTTCTATAAAACTACGATGAAGTTTTTGGTTGACAATAATTTTTACAAGCCGAAGTCTATTGTTAACCAAAATAGTTACAATAAAAGGAAGGAAAATCGAACTTCATCATTCATCATCATTATCCTGCCCTTCTCCCAGTCACCTAGGGTCGGCGCAACATGTTTTTTCCTTCCATACTCTTCTATCATATACCATTTCTTCGTTCACTCCCCTCTTACCCATATCGTCTTTCACACAGTCTATCCATTTCTTCTTAGGTCTACCTCTTCCTCTATATCCTTCCACATTCATAGTTAATACTCTCTTACCAACCTCATTTTCATTTTGTCTCATCACATGTCCATATCATCCCAAACGCGCACTCCTCAGCTTCTCTGTCACAGGTGCCACTTTCAGACTTCCTCTAACATATTCATTTCGTATTCTATCCATTCTCGTTACTCCACACATCCATCGCAACGTTCGCATCTCTGCTGCATGCAATCGCCTTTCATCGAAAATCAAGGAAATCGAACTTCATGGTGCAGTATTGTTGATGGAGGCTTTTTATTGTTAGATAAACAAATAAGTTCACTGCCAACCTCTTATTAAAAGGTTCCCGGGGATATCACAATGTAAAGACCGCATTGAATCGTGACCAACTCTCAATTGTATTGTACAGTGTTTGCGTTGCAAGCCGGAATACACAATAGCTTCGCGGCACAAATAGGCAGTATTAACTCTTCTGTAATCAATTAAACTGTGTAAAGTTTGCCGGAACTTGTTCGTAGCACATTCTAGATAAATATCATGTTAGAAGAATTGGTATCCACACAAGCATCGCTCGATACGAGTAAGTCGGGTGTTGGTTTAAAAATATATTTGTTTTATTACTCACGGCTTCCAAATCCTTCTTCTCGGCCATCTTGATGGTTTACTTCGAGTGGTCGCCGAAGCAGCGTCCGTCCCCCAGGCGATCTGTCATGTATTTAAGTACTGTTAAATACTATCTCCCTTCTTTTTTATTAATTATTATATTATATTAATATAATATATTACTAGCAGGTACCTCGGACAAAGAATCAGTCTAGCTACTCAAAAGGGGAACGCTGTCAGTATCTTCGGAATCTTGCCTAAAGGGAGAGTCCCTTTAGTAATATATTAAATTATTATTATTATTGTTATTTTGTAAGGTTTTTAGTTTTAAGTTCATTGTTAGAGTTGATTGCATATTTTTTTATATTTATTACATTGTATAAATTATTACATGAAATTGTAGAGGCGCGAATGTTGCGCGATTTACGTGTCGAATACCTAGTCTTGCCATAAATACTGAGACAAAGGAAAAAAAATTCTATTGCAAATAACATATTTATTACTTTTAGAGTGTGTTAGTTTAATACATAAATATAAAACAATTTAAAGTATAAAATGCTTATTCGAAGTGGTCTCCATTGGCTACAATACAGTCCTTTAAACGTTGAGGCCAGTTATCAATAGAAGCACGCACTCTTTCCATGGGAAAATTTTTCACTGCCAATCGTACGGATTGTTTTAGGAACTCCAAATTATTATGGCGTTTAGAGCAAGCCGTACTCTCTAAAACTGATCATAAATCATAATCCAGCGGATTAAGATCGGGACTAGACGACGGCCAGTCTTCAGCTCTGATGAAGTCCGAAATGTTCGTTTCCAACCAAGACTGTGCAGACCGAGCTTTGTGACCTGGCGCCGAGTCTTGCTGGAAGGACCATTCTTGATTATTGAACATGGTGTTGTTAAGGGGCTTCACTACCTTCTCAAGAATGGTATCTTGATACACTTGTGCCGATGTTTTGATACCTTTTTCACAAAAGTATGGCTCAGTCACTCCTTCATAGCTAATACCCCACTAAACCATCACTGAAATCCGATAGTGTCCACGTTGCACTCTGTCGGCTAATTGGGAAGCTTTCTTAGAGCCTTGAGCATAAATACGGTCATTTTGTTTGTTAAAATGTTGCTCAATTGTAAAAATTTTCTCATCCGTAAAACAAATTTTTCTATGATCTCCCTTTGCGTACCGCTTCAGTAGTTGTTTCGATTTTACCACCCTATTCTCTTTTAAATTATCAGTTAAGAAATGACCAGTACGTCTATTATAAGGCGCAAGTCCTAAGTCATCTTTTAAAATACGCGACATGGTTCTAGGTGCTATCTTCATCTCCCGAGATAAAATATTTTGCTTTCGGACAGGATTTCTTCGAATTCTTTCCCTTACTGCTTTGACCACCTTTTTCGTACGAACACTACGTGGATGGCCAGATCTTTTTCTGTCACAAACAGAGGAGGTCTCATTGCACTTATTAATAGCCTGGTACACAAACATTTTACTAATACCAAGCGTATGGAGAGTTTTAGAAATTGCATTTGGCTCCATACCTACTTTGTGTAGGTATGGAGAACCGAATCATTCCGATAGAGGCACCCGTCACGTGCGGACGTGCCCATCGACCACTCGATCGCCCGGTCTTTGTTAGCCCGGCCATTGTTCGCGCGGCCTGTGTTCGTGGTACATCTGCCGACTAAGTGCTCTTTCTGGAAGTTTTTATTTGTTTTGTTTCCTTTTGTTGTTTCTGTGTTCGTGGTACATCTGCCGACAAACTGTTTTCCTGGAAGTGTTTAATTGTTCTGTTTCTTTTTGTTATTTCCGTTTTGTTGTGTTTTTTCTNAGGGAAGTGAAGGAAGAGGCATGTCTTATTTTTATTTCGTGGTCAACCAGCTCACGGCCGACAGGTGTTAAATGGTTAAATACCACACCGTGAATTTCACACCTCATTACGAGACATGAGGTTGATTTGCATAATAGCTGTCCCAGCCTTCAAACCCAAATGACTAATTCGCGGCAGAAAAAGATATGATTGTAGTACCTACTCATTTTCACATTTACTTAACCTGAAGTGTATTTTTCGAATTCCCGATGCGTCCAATTATTTTTATCCTTCAGATACAACAGCCCTAGAAAGCTTACTTACTCATATTTAATTACAAAATAACCCTGATAAGGCATATAAAATCGTGATAATTACCTAATTGTTCATTCTGACTTTTGCTAGACAGCTTTGCTTTTGCAGACAACAATTTTGCTAGAAACCTACACAGGGAGGCCGTTCGTAAACTGAAGCCTCGCAAAGGCAATAATCCTTTATGACATGCCGATTACCTCACAGTCGTCAGCTTGTAATTTGATTAGGTTATCGAAACTGGAGGTACTAGATGTCTTTGCCCCAGTAATACCCAGTCGTCCTACTTATCTAGCAAACTTTTGCTCAGTGGTCGTTGACGAGAACCAACTTTCATAGGCTTCAAGAAGAAGAGAAACGCGATTACGATAAAAAGCTGATATAAGGAAAGCCTCCGATTTCCCAATTTTTAATTTTTTCTCCAAACATGGAATTTTAACGTTGTTGAAAAGTAATTGACAAGCGATTTCCCGCTAAAATATTTAAATAGCGTGGAACATTCAATGTCTCCTATGTTTTAGCAAGTAAGTTAAATTTAAAATTGAATACGGTTATTGAGTTAGCGGAGAATATCGCCGTACCGCGGAGACCGGCGTCGTTGGTCGTCGACGACCTGTCGGTCGGGCGTCCTCGGGGTGCCGCCGCAAGTCTGGTTCTAGTGTTGATCGCGGGAGCTCCTCTACTCTAACCGGGTTCTGACCCCGGACGGAGATCGGACGTGGGGTGTAAGAGTGCAGGGGAGTCGTTTAGTGCGGTAGGGCCCTAAAATTCCTTGGGCCCGCGGTCTACTCCAGACACCTTGCAGATCGTCAAGTCCCACATCTCATAGGAGGTTCGGTCCCGGCCCAGAAAAAAAAGGCGGAGAATATCGACTTAACACGTAAATGCTATCACGAATAATAACATGCTCATGTTAAAATAAATAAATTATGAAATTAAATATTTGAAGTTCAAGGTCAAGGTCAAGAAAATTTACCTTTTATAACTGAAAATAATTTAAATATGGCCATTTAGTATTTTAACATTCTCTTTTTTTTCGCGTTTTATTTGAGTTCACGTTTTACATGAGGGTGAAGACTGACAGTGAAATGACGCCGTCCTCCTTGAGAAATAAGGAGGAAAGTTTAGATTTTCACCCAGACATATGGAGTTTTACCAAAAGGATGCATTAAGAGAAGAATCTATTATTAATATCCTCTTAAATAAACGCCACATAACAAAGTCACTAAAGTTTTAATTCAAAACTACCTAAAATCAATATTCATTCTATGTCACCCAACATCTTGTAAGTTTTTGCGTCTCTTCTTGGCTTACAACTTGTTATAATATTTGGATTCCGCAAGTCGTAGACATAATTAAAACAAATTTTCTGTTGAATACCGCAACCGGATATTCAATTAAATTGATTAATTATTTTTTTATCGAATATTCAAATGTCGACGATTAAATAACATCTTAGTCGTCCATGATGACGAAAAAATAAGCTATACGAGTAATATTTAAAAACTAAAATACTCGAAAAGCCGGATATAATACAATAAAAATAATAAACGCGAGATTAAACAAATAATAAGAAGAATAACTTGTTTAAAAAATTGTTTTAATTATAGCATGGTTTAATATTTTATTAGAAAATTCAGCATAGATATTTGGTAAGCGCGGAACGTTCCGAAAAAATCAGATTGAGGAATAATAAAACATATAATATACGTGAAAAACAACAAGAATATATTATAAGAATCCGTAGGTACCACCAATGTTTCTGGCACAAGGTGATCGGTTGTATTCTTATTGTAGTGTATACGGAATACCAATCGCTAAACATCAGATGGGCTGGTAATCTACAACCCATTAAAAAACAACTACTAGCTAGCTCAATCCGCCATCTTGCATTGTGTTATTACTACTACTATGCTCGAGCATGAATTTGGATTAAATTTTAGTGGTCAACCACTGAAAACAAAGCGTTTTAATGAATTTAACGATCATTCTAGTGCTTATTACAGTAATCGATATTCTCCTATTTTTATTTAAATTTAACAAATCGATTAATGATGTTTGATTACCAGAAAATAATAATATTATAATTATTTAGAAATACGCCGACATCACGACAATATTAACAAATTGTATTGCAATGATTGATTGCAATTGAATTTAAATCATTAAGTCTGTGAGTATATGCTCCGCATACATATGATGACAATTTGATTATTACCAAGACTATTCCGAAATTTAAACCATTTTTTGTGTTCGTTACGTGCGAAAATAAAGAGTTTTTACTCACAAAAACAATCGCTAAGGCTGACGAGACGCCACTCCTGCGCGATGCCGCCTCACCTCTTTTTTATACCTAGTTTGATCCAATTAACGAAGGCGACACAAACAGACCCAGTTTCATGCAGTTTGCTTATATGTTTCAAAGTCAAATGCTGATAAAATACTTGTGGTATTTCTTTTAAATGGATTTTTGTTTGATCATGTATTTATTGTGTGAACTAACTATAATATTATTTGAATCATGTTTTTAGGTAGTGACAGACAGATATAATTATTACGTTGAACATGATCTTGTATGCTTGTTTAGTTATTAAAATGTTACAAGTTTTCAATTGTTGATTTAAATCTTGAAATACTGGTATGTAATTAATGTATTTTCGATAGATCTGCAAACGAATCAATGGCTTATCAACATAATGGGTCAAAATATTCCCGTCAAACATTACTAATGCACAATGATGGAGCATTGTTTGAAAATATCCCACAGTTCAAAAGTTTGAATACTATTGTCACGTCTATCTATCTATCTGTCTTTCAGTTCACAAAAGTCCATTGCTGGACATATGCCTTCTCCAAGGTTCGCCACAACGACCGGTCCTGCGCTACCGTCATCCAGCGGTTTCCTGGGATTTTCAACAGGTCGTCAGCGTATGGGAGGTCTATCCACGCTGTCCTTCGGTAAGCGTTCGTCATTCGAGAACTTCTCGACTCAACGGCCATCTGTTTCACGAGCAATGTGTCCTGTCTACTACCACTTCAGTCTCAAAATCCTTTGGGCTATGTCGGTTACCATGGCCTTCCCGCGAATCTGCTCATTCCTGATTTGATCTCGCAAGGATTTTATTTATTTATTTTTTAATGCTTAGATGGGTGGACGAGATCACAGCCCACCTTAAGTGGTTACTGGAGCCCATAGACTTAGACAACGTAAATGCGCCACCCACCTTGAGATATAAGTTCTAAGGTCTCAAGTATAGTTACAACGGCTGCCCCACCCTTCAAACCGAAACCTTCGGCGGAATATATAGAATAGGCAGCAAGCATAATTACGCAAATTATAATTTTGCGGGTTTGATTTTTATTACACGATGTTATTCCTTCACCGTGGAAGTCAATCGTGAACATTTGTGGAGTACGTATTTCATTAGAAAAATTGGTAGCCGCCTGAGATTCGAATATCGGTGTATCGCACAGCACGAATGCACCGGACGTCTTATCCTTTAGGCCACGACGACTTCAATTTAATTCAAATTCCAAGCATAACTCTCTTCACTACTCTAGGCGTGACCTTGAACCTTCTTATAGGGCACATTCTGAGCGACCACGTCTCAGTGGCTCACGTCTCAGACACATAGTCTTGAGAAATTGTGCTATTTGTGATCAGAAGATTCTATGTAGGTTTACAAATGCTACGCATCTGAATTGGATTCGACGATTGACCTATTTTGATATATTGGACTTACATATCTGGGCAGTTTACCCTAGTTAAATATACTCGTGAAGACAAATTTAGTTTTTTTCGTGTTCATATTAAGCCCACTCGGGTAGAAGCTATACTGAGATCATTGAAATCGGAAGAAAATCGGAGAAATATCATCACCCTGTTTCACGCCACGCAGTGGAAGAATGGATCCTTAAGTCCGGATCTGCCGAGGCCGAACCTCCTACAGGTGCCGTGTCTAGGGGGCGCGCGGGGTATGTGGGACTGGACGGTCCGTAGATGTTAGGAGCGGACCGCGGGCTTAATGGAATTTAGAGCACTACCCATTAAACGACTACTCTGCACTCTCGCTAAGGCGCCGATTTTCCCCGAGGTCAGATCTTGGGTGGGGTAAAGAGGCTACCGCGGTCTACAGTACAACCATATGCGCGGATCACTACAAGGACGCCCGGCTAACGGAGCCTTCGAGGCAAATCGAAAGCTCTGGTCGGCCGTCTCGGTATCGCAGCCCATCGGGCCTTGGATACTCTACTGGGTCAGAACCAGGGTCCTGCAATCGGCCGGACATAGACTACATGGACGTGGCCGGCCGGCCGGCCAACGACAACAACTTATGTACAAACACTTCAACTTGGAACCGTTGGAGAGACTGCATCGTGATGCAGGAAAGGCTATCTCTCTCTCTTTCTCTCTCTGACTCTCTCCCTCTGTGTCTCTCACACATACATACTCACAGACACACACGTGGGCGCACATACATATAAGTATTCTTGTTCTCTTCTTTTTGTTTTTCATTAATTATTTTACTTTTAATAAAGCATATGTTTTTATCCTCATCATGTCTCTCTATGCTACAGATGTCGACTGCTCTACTGCACTACTGCAGTAGTGGGGCGGTGCGATGGTAAAACCGAGATGATGATATCATCTCAGATAATTCCTCAGAGCTTTCCCCATACAACATACGGTACAAAATACAGAGAGAACCGAAGTCCTTCCGCAGATCCAGCGGTTCCAAATGATCTGTGAGAATGGGATCATCGACAGTCCGAACGGCTCCCTTCTGTATGAAGTCAAATGGAAGTAGCTGGTATTTGGGAGCCCCGGCCCAGAGGTGGAAGCAGTGGTCCATGCGAGGCCGGAGTTGTGCTTTGTAAAGCTACTAGGCAGCGGCTTGGAATGGTAGGCAGCGGGGCTCTGCCCTTGGCATTATTGACTTCCATGAGCGACGATAACCGCTTACCATCAGGTGAGCCGTTTGCTCGTCTGCTTGCCTGGCAATAAAAAAAAGTATTTATTCGGATGTGAGTATCGCTTCGCTTTGTTCAGGACTCTCATTATTTTCAAAATGATTATCTATATTAATATTGTAAAGAAGAAAGATTTGTTTGTTTGTTTGTATTGAATAGGCTCCGAAACTACTAAACCAGTTTGAAAAATTATTTTACTATTTGGAAGCTACACTATTCCCAAGTGACTTGGCTATATTCTTTTTTAACAATAATTAGGGATCCTTACTAAAACTCCAATAATGTAAACTAAAGTGTAAAAAAATTACCTAAAATATTCTTTACATCACGTGTGCTGCGAAAACTATTGATGATAGAATAAAATAATTTACTATGACTTTGTAGAACGCATTATTTACAAATGTCGCGACAGCATATTATGTCTATTATAGTTATGCCACAGGTGTTTTATTTAAAAAAATAAAATAACGTCACATATCGTTTACAGGGAAGCTCAGACTCAATAAACTCAATGGCTTTTGTTTTGCATGTATGACCTTTTTACGAAAATGAGAAAAATAATAATATTCAAACTACATATCTTTTTAATTTTCTTTTTTTAGTAACCTGACGCAAATAGAAGGGTTGATGTGCGTGTATTATAAGTTTTTATTTTGAAATTTTTGTTAAAGACCCGAGCGAAGCCGGAGCGGTCTGCTAGTATGTTATATATCAACATAATATCCTGTTTGATAGAACCGATGTCATCGCTGATTGCCAGGCAAATTGCTCAAGGTTCTTGTGAAGTACTTACAGTACAGTGTAAAAGAAAACTCGCTTCGTATGTCTAAAGCAAACTTTATTTACTGTAAATATTATATAAATATAATTTTATGTGTAACAATGATAATTTGCTTCTTAAGGCACATACATGGGTTTCAGGTTTTCAATATGTCTCTTTGATATTTTATAAATACTGGTCTAATGCACTTAAAATATATTTGAAAACGTAATTGACTAGACTGTTCTACATTCTGCTGAGACAGATTCATTTGCATAGACAAACATTGACAGAGTCAATTAATATAATTCTCATATTATAAAGTCTACTATTATGACAAAACTTCCAAATTAATATAATAATAAGGTAGGAGGACAATTCGTGTTCGATTTATATAAGACTAAAATTAAACTATATTTTTTAATTTCATGTTAAAAACGTTTAAAGGAGACTGATCGCTGTCATAATATATCTAGTTATTGCTACATACATGTGTCGAGCAACATATCAGTAGCATCTCACTAATAGGTCAATAATTTAAAACTTTAATACCTGTGTCAGGTTTACCGGGCAAGGTAGTTAAAGAAATAAAATAAATACCCCTTTGAAAGTTAAAAAGAAGGTCTTATGTTTCAAATACTCTTTATTCGATTATCGTGAAACTGGTTAGAGCTAGGAAAGAGGTTTAATAGTTAACAAACTGTGTAAAACAATATTTTAAAAAAAACTACATATTGTTTTACTTCAAAGCCACCCAGAAACTATTCGCCCAGTAGCTTTGGATTTTCCTTTACCCGCTGACATTATAGAAGGTGTTGGAGACGAAGGCACAACTCTGGGTGATCTCGGACTCAACGTTTTGGGGCTTGAAGTTTTAGAACTAGCTAATGATTTATCGGAAGATTTACTTTCGTTGCTCTGAGAAAATCTAGATGGAGCCATTTGTGACTGTAAAGAGGCTGAAACCAATTTAGAATCTTTTCTTGACAACCTTGATGTGCTAGGTATTACAGACTCTACGTTTTTTGGAGTGTCATTAGTGTATTTCAAACATGATTTATATGGGAGTTTTTCAGTTCCCCCTTTAGTGATTGACGTTCGTGAAGAGCTTGCTTGTGTATATTGAGATTCTAAAGCAGAAGCTGATAATATTTGTTCATTTTGTTTTAAACTAGGAGATTTAGCTGTTGGGTCTTGTAAGTTACGTTCTTCTTCCTTCATAAGTAAGAGGTTTTTGGTGGGTGTATCGGGTTCGATTTGTATGACATGATCTTGGGATTCTGGTGATGGGAAATGATGATAGCTTCCATCCATCGAGGGCGTGTTCGGTCCTGTATGATCTCCAGAATATATTTTCAAGGGTTTTTTCTGGATTGAATCTGTATCTGAAACTAGGAAAAGTGCGTTTAGAAATGAATTGGTTATAGATTGCCTACTTCGACCGCTCTGTAGTCATTATACTAATAAAAAATATATTACGAGGATACGTTGTAAGGTTGATGGGGGGCATCATCGTTTACAAGGCTTCAGATTCTATAATCGACCAGCCTAATTTAAGCAAGTAAAAACAGATGGTTATCCTTAGAAATGCATCGTAGGGGTTTATATTGAGTATCGTGTTAGTAAGTGAGAAAGAGACAAAAAAATGCGAGATAATATAGTAAAATATACTCACACGCACACACACAAACACACACATACACACACACACACATATATATATATTCTTTTTTTTATATCGGCAATCTTAAAATTATTACAAAATAAAAGCTGTTAAAATTGCATTGGCAATATACCTTGGTCTTCAACGTCGACTTCGATTGTAATTTCGTTTTCTCTAAGTCCTTCATCGTCTGACATTTCTGGTATGGGTGTTCGGCTACGAAACGATCGAACTGGCGACAAATATGTAGGTATTGAGAATCTATTTTAGATGTATAATATATTATAATTTTTTTTTTTTAGTGTACCTGGTCGCTTTTGGTCATGTCTTTGTGGAGCTTCGAGGACTTCGTCATTGAAATCTTCGCCGTCGAGACTTGATTCATCAGATTTTCGCTTGTTTCGCTCTTTTTCACTAAAATCTGACCTAAGCTTGCTCCTCATAAACTTGGCATAAGCCACTCTCGTAGTAGGTGTCAGCTCTGATAGTTTGGGATTGTATTCTGAAAACCAATATTCATATTGTAGATATTTTTACTTAAGTATTGAAAGACGTATTTTTTTATTTAAAATGTCTACATTTTTCAAAGGCCTTTGAATGAACAAAATGTAATTATCTTAGTTTTATTATAATTAATTTGTTCTTATTAAACACTTTCGAGTAAAAATAGATTCCTCTAAAATAAAATAATAGACTTTCAGTTAATATCGTTAGAAAGATATGGCTCATTTAAATCAGCTATGCTCTTTGTTTTGAATCTAGCAATGGATATATTATGGTACATACGTAGGAGCTTCTGCGGGTCAATGGTACGACTTTGAACATTTTCTAAGATATGAGCTCTTAGGGATTGTCTACTTCTTCGTATTTCAGCTTCAGCGGCGGTACCGATAGGATCCCTGCGTACTGTATTAGTTCGAACCAGAGCGTTCCAATCACGTTTTTTGCTGTAATTTTAATTTGAAAAGTTTGAGCTTTTTGTTTATTTTCTATATAGGCAATTCAAAGTGTTGTTTTTCCTACAGGTAATCCACGAAGATAGAGTCGTAGGTGGCTGAGAACCATCTTCACAGATGTCATGACAATGTCAATGTAAAACACATATTCAATAATCTGTGAGCACTCTGAAACACACTGTCCGCTTGACATACAGTGAAATTGAAACTGAAAGCTTACAAGTGTGACCTCTCGTGATCGTAATGATGTCTGGTGTCTGTATTACATAGATAAATTAAATAAATATTTGATAGTTGTACCTATCTGTGCTTGACCTTCTGACAATAGCTTTCGCTATCTGACTAAATACATCCTTAGGTTTATTCTCTTTGGATATTACATCTTTGATTATTCCTTCTACGATTCCAATTTGGAAGTCTTTCAGTATTCTTCTTTCCATTACTTTTCCCTTTTTACCGGATACTGTGAAACAAATAATTGATTTTTTATCTTAATTTTGATTAAGCTGAAGGTAAAAAATCAGCGGTAGGCGCATAGTTAATAAAGGCTTTCCATGCTAATGGTCTAATCTGCCAATGCCGGTCGCAAGCCCGGATGATAAAAGAGGAGGATTGAGTTGGTGTTCGACCTTTCCACTGTAAAAGAGTCAACGCCGAATGTTGGGTGGCGTTTAATTAGCCGGACCCAAATAAGGCTTCAGCGGTTACGAAGAACTAAACCTCTACCAAAAGCACTGCCGTGGAAGGACGCGGGACCCCACCATGTGCTTTTTTCCAAGAAAGCCTCATGAGGCCACGACCCTCAGCATTGAGGATTATTGACGCAAGGAGGATGTCAGTGGTCATAGCTAAAATCGTCGTGGCCTAAAGGATAAGTCTGGCGCATTCATGACGAGTGATGCAACTGTGCCAGTGTTCGAATCCCTCTTTGTAATGCAATACCTACCCGACGTACGTCCACGAATGACTTGCACGATAAAGAAAGTAACAATACGTAATAAAACTCGAATCCGCAAAAAATACAATGCACGTAATTACTGGAGGTAGGGTGTCTTGTGAAACCCAAATGATTAGGTAGCACCACTCTGCTTATTTCTGCCGTGTCGCAGTAAGCGTTTCACTATAAAGGGTAGACAGTCGTTGTACTATAAAAAAATGAGACTTAGAACTCAAGAGCCATGGTGGCTAGTGACATTTGTCAGGTGGATTGTAAACTTAATCATCCAACTAAGTAAAATTAAGATTAGGACTTGTATACAATGTACAATAAAAAATAGTTTCATTGAATCTATGAGTTCTTAGAAAATCATCGGGTTGCATAGATAATTCGGAAATTTTAAAATCATAATGATTACCGGCGGTATCCTGTAAGCTGACTCTTGGTGTCTTCATTCCATTGTTATGCAGTATATCAATGAGCTCGTATCTGAGTGTGGATATATCTTGACGGATCTCCATAACGTCATCCTCCGTGACTCCTACTTCATCTCTAGCCCTTTGTTCTGCTGTCACGTATCTTCTGACTAGTATCCTCATTACCGCTTCGTGTTCCTGTCTAGCTTTTTCACGAGATTTGTTCTGTGAAAATGTTGTTTTAAGATTTCATAGATTATTTCACGGCTTCCACTTGGATACCTAATGGAAACGTCTTAAGCTATCTACGAGAGGTTTTCCAATTTTTTTATGAAATAATTAATGATGGCCTAGAAGTTTAAAAACTTGATAATTATAAACATTAATAAATAAATAAGAGAGAGAGAGAGAGATAGTATGCTTTATTGTACACAAAATAAATAAAAATGCAAAACATTAAATTCGAAAAAAGTATAATGGACGGTCTTATCGCTACGAGCGATCTCTTCCAGATAACCATCAGGTGGACAAGAATCACTTTAGGAAACAAATTACACGCGTTGTACCTATCGATTGAAATATATTTATACACACACACACACACACACACATTCATACACACCCAATATATGTATATTAATTTATTTTGTTAATATATAAGTAAGTTTATATAAGTCAAAATAAGTAAACTTAAAAATCAAAGCACGTGATCATTTCTAGCCGTTCTTTATCGAAATTCATATTCGTACAGCGCGGAGACTAAAGAAAAATATGAAAAGTTTGAAAGGAAAGTATGTAACTTTAACAGTGTATTTTAGGTCGAAAAATTAAAAGTAATTACGAGTATTGAACGCCTTTCTCGTTTGTTAAAATAGCTTTTGATCCAGCAAAAGAAATGCTTTGGCGTCGGTATGATGTTGAAGGGCGGCGGGACGGTGTCGCCGTCTTCGAAGTAAGACATCCAAAGATTACTGCGGGCGAATTTCCATTCAGTATCCGCTCGTTCCTAAAAAGAAATAATGGAGAGATGAAGTTTGGGAATCTAGGAATCAACCGGACACAATGAATAAGAGCAGTCCGTAATTACGCTATGAAATATATATATTAATATGTGAAGCAAAAACTTTGTAGCACTTTTTACGAAAATTGCTCGAATGGAGTAGTATGTTTCTCACACTTATAGAGACTGTAGAGAAGGAGTGGAGAATGCTAATATTTTTTAATTTAATTTTTTAATTAATTTTTTTTTATATTGCCTTTGTAGGCAGACGAGCATACGGTCCACCTGATGGTAAGTTGTCACCGTCGCTCATGGACGTCAGCAATGCCAGGGGTAGATCCAAGCCGCCGCCTACTATATGCATTAATAATATCTAATACTATATTAAATCAATAAAAAAAATTACACACTGCCATGTATTTGACACACACACACATATACATATACTTTGTGTATTGTCAAATTTTTGTTATTGCTTAAAGTCTGTGCTCAAATCGAGAATATGTTAATATTGTATAACTTAAATATTATTTGTCTATAAAGTTAATATTGTTCATCTTTAATATTATTTGTCTATAGTGTGGTCTTGCCGAAATTTGTCAATAAAGAAATAGTCTTTGACAATAAAACCTTAATAATGTTGAAACTTTTAATTTCAATTAATTATAGTCGAATTTCGACTACTACGGAACCACTAGTACTTTTAAATACACCAGTATATATGAAAAAACTGTAATGAGAATCTTAGCTGTTTCCTTATACTTACGGAAATTATTTGATATGAGTTCGACATCATGGCAATTAGCATGTTGAGTAGGACTATTATGTTAATAACGGAATACGATCCAAAAGTCAGAAGAGCCCAAAATCTTGTAAAACTTTTGATACCGGTCAACTCGAACGTCGTCAAATCGACGAGCCCAAAAGAAGCCCAGAACAGCGACTGAGAGGTCTCGAACAAACTGTAAGAAGTATGTAGCGCTATTACCATGACCCTAATATCTTAACTACAAAGCATTTGATTTATTAAAATAAATTAGACATTAATACTTTTGTGAAATAAACATGGACTTTAGTTAAATACTATTTAGGTATATTAAAATAATAAGGTTGTTTTTTTTTCTACAGAAATACATGTACGGGAATCCGAGAGGTAATTGCTGTTTGTTATACATTTCATTCTGTGTTACTTTTCTATATTGGAGGCGCTCGAGTAGCTATTAGCAAATGCCGCCCCTTCTGGCTGAGCCCTTGCTCGCCCACCTGTCCTTGTGAAATTGGAAAGGCCTTTGGGCCACCAGTAAACCCTTAATTATAAAATAAAAAATAAAAAATTCTAAAATAAGTTCTAAAATAGAGAAGAGATGATCGAAAGAACACGAGATATTGTACTAACTTAGCATATCTTCTCCAAATTGAACAGGCTCTTTCTTGCCCATCGAAATCTGGCAACCCATTTGGAAGGTGGTAACATTTGTCTTTTTCTAGTTCAGCATAATACCACATTAGCTGATTGAGCCCTGCGAGGTGTACATAATATACTTTAGTATCCACAGAAATCATCTGAGTTTAATAAATAAATGTTTACAAATTTGCAAATTAGGCTAATGTACACGATTATAATTATTTGATTTTGACGTGACAACGTCTTATAATTCGATGGAGCCGGCTGCACGCACGAAAAAACATGACTCATGCGGTGTTACCTCGCTCTGAGGCGTTCCATTTAAGGCTTAAAGTGCAAGCGAGAGCGCGCAACGAGCAACAAAGAGGCACAATCGGCCTCCGCGTTCGGCAGCGTTCGACATCTGTCTCTTTCCTACTTGAGTGAGCGATGCATCCGCGTGGACAGCTGCTATACATTAGTACATTTACATGTTTTCGTCAAGTATGAAGTTCAGTGAAAAGCAAATGTGGTGTCAATTGTTTATAGCAACGATCACTGCGATAATTGAAAAATGAAACCAACCCATCAGTATTTTCTTATGACGTTGTCACGTTCAACTATCGTCAGTAAACCGACTTTACAGACAAGCGATTTTTTTATTTTTTTTTAGCAATTTCAATTGTGGAACTTTGATCGATTACATACAGACTTTATTTGTTTAACTAAACTCACCACATCCAAATGCGAATAACACAAGCATGTACACAAAGAAGAACTTTAATATATCCAGTATCATTCGTCCCAGAGATACTTGGAGTGGTCCCAGATAAGGATTTATTGAGAAGATGTGAACAAGCTTCAGAAACGAGAATATCATGCCGGCTGCAAACGCTCCTTCAGATAACAGCATCGGATCGTAGGAGTCCCAACGTTCTCGCGGGTACCAAGGATCCAAACCACTGTGGTGATCTCGCTGAAGAAAAAAAACTTCAGTCCGTTACGCGCTCACGATATTTCGAAGTTACTTTATAGAAACAATAAAGCATCTGTGTGCTTAGTGCGAGTTTTTTTTACGCTCTCGATAGCGTAAAAGTTAACTATAATTTCTATGCAATTGGAACAGCGCCCCTAGCGGCAAACGTAGGCGAACGTTCCAACTCCCTTCAAATTTGAGGTAACTTTTACGCTATCGAGAACGTTAAAAAACTCGCACTGAGCACACTGTTCAAATTAATATTTTAAATAAGATATTTATCAATTTTGGAATATTATAAGAGATGCTTACTTGAACAATATACCAAGATGATATTCTCAACGAAATCCACGCGATATAGAACATGTTTGTAATGAAATCTACGATATTCCACAGATCGCTGATGTATTCCGTTAGACCTCCGGTCCACAGAGCCCTGATTTCCGCCCAAATCAAACCTAAAATTATTTAAATTTTCTAAGAAATTAATAATTAAGTAATTAATTAATATATTAATTAATTTTCTAAGAATTTTTAAATATAAAAACGAGTAATACATGGACTTAACAACTAATAAAGTACTTTTATAAGCTTTACCGCATTAGGATAAGTGAAAGAGCTTACGGTCACTGGTTGTAGGACATCTTGTGAGTCCGTATGCGTGGGTACCACCACCCTGCCTATTTCTGGCGTGAAACAGTAATGCGTTTCGGTTTGAAGGGTGGGGCAGCCGTTGTAATTATACTGAGACCTTAGAACTTATATCTCAAGGTGGCTGGCGCATTTACTTTGTAGATGTCTATGGGCTCCAGCATAAGGTGGGCTTTGCGCTCGTCCAACCATCTAAGCAATAAAAAAAAAACAATATGTTGCTAAGTAGTTATCGGAGCCCATAGAGGTTAGCGATGAAATCCGACACCCCCCTTGAGACATGAGTTCTAAGTTACCTACGGTTTTATAGTACAACAGTTGTCCCAATATGATAATGGTAATATCTACCCAAGTGAGCTCATAAGACATCCTACCACTTAGTAATTACGAAAATTATACATAATTATTGAGAATATTATTTTTTTGTTACACGATTTTAAGTAATTCGTGAACGTATATCAATAGAAAAATTGGTACTAGTCTGAGGGATTTGAACACAGGCACAGTCGAAACAAATACAATAGACATCTTATCGTTTAGGCCACAACGGCTTTTTTACAATGACTAAAAGCAAAAGAGACCGATGCATTCCGTGTTAATATTAGTCTCTAAGAAATTAACCTGATGATGTTGCTTAAGTCAGAGTTTTAATTTAAGAAGCAGACGCTTAAGATGAAGATTTACTATTAAAATAACATTGATTTAAAGATTGCATGCCAACAAACTCAAATTTACTTGCTATGTAGATAATGACGGCGAACTCAATGACTCCAGGCAGAGATCCTCTTTCGTGGTCCTTCCAGTATCCCACTAATTCCTGCAGCCAGCTCACATTGGACCACTCTAGTACTACATATTCCGCTCTTTGGGATGCTAGTGAGAGCAACGCTGAAAAATATTGTTGATGAACGTTAATTATTAATCGTTTAAGTTACTTAGTGAATAATGGGAAACAAATTGTAAAAAGAGTAAGTAACATATAAGCAGTTCGAATATGTTGATATAAAACAATGAAACAGTTATAAAATAAATGTTCAACTAATGTGGTAATGAACTGAAACAATTTAGAGGTTAATGCAACTGCAACTGCATCGTTGATAAAATAAAAAGAAATATGCTTGAAATTCATTAAGCTGTTTACATGTTTTAAAAACAATATGTAATAGCCAATCCTATCATGGGAATAATTGATTGATTGATTTTATTAAGGAGAGAGAGAGAATATACTTTATTGCACACCAAAACATTATTAACATCAGAAAACAGTCAACAAGCAGATACGTTTGTACAATAGGCGGTCTTATCGCTAAAAGCTATCTCTTCCAGATAACCGTTTAATTACCCGAAATTCTGGACAGATAAAGATATAGCAGGTATGTTGCGGTGTACTACTAAGGAGTTTTTTTTTAATTTCTCAAATTATCCTAGGTTATTATTTATCAAGATTCCCGTTATTCCGTTCAAAGAACTCACTCAAGAACAGCATGTAAGAAGAACTGTGACAAATAAACTTGACGAATGGCTTTTTCATGAATCTGCCGTACTCGGAGTTTGGGGCCAACATGTATATTGTGCAGTAAACAGGAAACATCACCCCCAATTTTGCTACCTGAAAAGGAATCTCGAAATAGCAAAAATTAATCGAGTACAAATACAATATAAAATAAATGAAATATGGCTTGTAATTGAATTATTTTTGAGCATTAAAAAAACGACTCGTCGATTGTAAATTCAAACTCATATTTAAGAGAGTTGTTCACTTGTTAAGTGATTTGATGTTGAAACAAAATATATTTAAATGCAATTAAGCAATTGAGTCTTGTACTGTATACCAAATAAAAATATTTTTTTAAATACAATCAAACTTAGTATATAGAAATAGTGTACCTGAACGCATTGACCGAAAATGTTTTTCCTTTTAAAGCCCGGCAGCCCTTCATACCAGATAGCTCCCAATAACTGCTGCACATTAGGATGTGCTACAAACTGAAATTAAAATTATATGTTCACTTTGTATCAGGCGTTTCGGTCAGCAGTACATACAATCAACATCTATTTTCCATATTTGATATAGGAGTTTATAATCGAAGACTGTTCGCCATAATGTCTTTACTGGTGGTAGGACGTCGTGTGAGTTCGCACAGGTAAGTACCACCACTCTGCCTATTTCCGACGTGAAGCATTAATGCGTTTCGGTTTGAAGGGTAGGGCAGCCTTTGTAACTATACTGAGTTATTCGAACTCATATCTCAAGGTGGGTGGTGAATTTACGTTGTAGATGTCTATAGGCTTCGGTAACGTAACATCTACGTAAAATTTTATATAAAAAAAGCAAATTTCATATTAGTGCGCTTTCATCATCACCATCACCAGCCTATAGCAGTCCACTGCTGGACATACGCCTCTCCTCATCTCTCCAACTCATCCAGCTCTTGCCAGCTTGCTAAAGCACTTTAGTTACCGTATAACTTGTTTTAGGACCTTAATCCGTCCATCGCACCAAAATAATCTTTACAACAACTAGATATTACGTCTTGCAACGACCAAACAACGTGTTGGATGTAAAAATGATCTTGAGAAAACTTTAACTTGTTAAGACAGGATTCGTTGTCTTCAAAATTAACATAATACAAATCTGTATCGTAGTAATATATCGAAGGAGCGAAATAAAATATAAAATGAGTTCAGATTTGTTTGAGTATTCTCACTGACAGACCGACGCGTCGACGCCGGGCGGATTAAACGAAATCAATCGTAAACAGACCATTAATTCGAATGTTTGTTTATGAAGATTTAAATTGATCCAGAAGAGAGATCGAACTATTAAAAAATCTCAATAAACAAACACGTCGCTCCGCCGATTTTAGGTCATCGAAAGGAATCTACGAACGATTTTATGCGTTCCCGATTTTTATATGACTTTATAAAATTGATTTATTTGTGGACTATCATTTTTAAGGTTCATTTTTGTCTACTATAATTAATTTTAATTATAGTAGACAAAAATATAATTATAATATAATTAATTTATTAATTTCTATATTAACTGCGATCCTTAAAACTTTTAACGACTGAATAATAATTATAAGATTCTCTATTTTATTTTTATTTTTATAAAAGAGTATTGAATATAGAATTCGACACGTCTTCCTATATAAGTTACCATATACATTTTCAATCCCCAATTCTCTATTTTAGTATATTGATCGAGACAATTATTTATTTATTTAAGGATTACCAACAGGGTTTATAGTAAGACATAAAATAACATTGACATGTATAGAGCAATTGATAGCTGCAACTCTAATTAGAAATAATCACAGCATGCATTACATTAATATATCAACAGAGATTTGACAATACTAATAATAATAAAATAAAATAAAAGAAAGACAACAAGGACAGTAATACCTGAGTACTCAGACCAAGGCCAAGGCTGAGGTTCAACAACAAATTTTATAATTTTGTTCCTGAATATTGGAAGGTCATGATGGTCATGATGTCACGTCATATCTTAATTTGGGTGGCGGCATTCCAATTGTGATTATTAATATAGGCTTTGGCACACATACACACACACAAAGCGGTGCCTCAGTTAGTCCTCCTCTTCGAGCGAATATCCAACCATTATCTGAGCGTTAGTCTTTTTAATACGCTTTTATTAGCTTCATACGTATGTTACGTATGTAAAGGAATCTTTGATCATGATTATGACCCTCTTCAAAACGTCAGATTAACTCGAAATTTAGCATACTTATTAAGGATCGATAACAATTCAATATTTTAAACAGTGTGATCCGTTATCCTTACTAGGATAATCAGGATTAGCGATTTTTTGTTTTCCTGAGACCCGGAGTGTCTGCGTCAAGATCAAGAAGAAAAACTACCAGGCGCGCCGATCACCTATTTCTTGGATAAGTTACTGACTGATTCAGATAAAAATTTTGAAAAAAAAAAAAAAAAAATATTGAAATTCAACTAAAAAATGAAAAACAAATAATAGCTTAAAAAAACACTTTTTTATAATAAAATAATTTTTTCTTACACTACTTTTAATTCAAATTTATTAGGACTTAAAAAAACGTTTACTGCTAATTTGCTTTTCATTAATTAACCTAATGTAGGTGTCTGGTTGTCAGGTGACAGTCTAATTAGGCGGGCCATGCCCTTGTCTGTCTATAATGGGAATCAAATGAATAAATATCACCGATTGGTGCTTGTTATGATTGTTGTTATAATGCATTGTTGCTGTATATGCTCATAATCCAATTGTGATTAAGTTTTGGAGTACTAGTCGACTACTAATCGACAAATCGACTACAGTTGATGAATATTTTTTGACGATTGATTAAAAATTCAGACCACGATGTAAATTTTTACTTTATGTCCAAATTGCAACGGGCTAGGTTCGTATTTGTTGTTTCTTGTCAAGAGCAAGTTAAAGCGCTCAAGTATCTGCGTAATGAAAATCAGGTGTAGATTTCAATGGTAATACAAAGACAAAATTATACATACTTTTAATTTGTAAAGTAATACCGGGACATCTGGTAAAATCAAGTCGTCGTGGCCTAAAGGATAAGAATCCCGCAGACGAGTACCAATTTTTCTAATGAAATACGTACCCAACAAATGTTCACGATTGACTTTCACGGTGAAGGAATAACATCGTGTAATAAAAACCAAACCCGCAAAATTATAATTTGCGTAATCACTGGTGGTAGGACCTCTTGGGAGTCCGCACGGGTAGGTATCACCGCCCTGCCTATTTCTGCCGTGAAGCAGTAATGCGTTTCGGTTCGAAGGGTGGGGTAGCCGTTGTAACTATACTGAGACCTCAGAACTTATATCTCAAGGTGGGTGGCGCATTTACGTTGTAGATGTCTATGGGCTCTAGTAACCACTTAACACCAGGTGGGCTGTGAGCTCGTCCATCCATCGAAGCAATAAAAAAAAAACGAGATACAAGGTACCCTCTTTTCAACACAAAAATAATAACGAGCAAAAGTTAAAGTATCCTCTTTGTTATTGGCTTGTAGCTTATAACTTTAAATAAGTACATTTTGATATCGTTTTAATATCTGGTGATATATCATTTATTTGATATTTTCCACTTAAATTTGTTTAAAAGTATCAAGGACACCAAAAAAATTTAATGCAGAAATTTTCGTTATCAAAAAATTTACTTTACACAAATCACCATTCGTTATGTTTTAGTTTTAATTGATTTACCATTTTTTGCTTGTATTTGATAGCCAATTTGAGACGTCCAAGTGTTTGCCTTTCCCCGGGCTCCCAGCAGTCCAAATCCCATGGGTTGTAGTTGAGCATTATCTCTAACTCCTTTGAGGTTCTGGTGTGATCTAATAGTGAGGTGGCGAATTCTTGGCATTGTTGACGTAAAGCCTGAATTAAAATCAAAATATGATACACAAATATTGTGAACGTAAACCCAAAAGCAAGTAAAGAAACAAATGAATTGTTCCAAAAAATCTCATTGCATTATATCTCGTAGAACTTTAAAATAATAATAATAGAATTAAACAATCAGTAAAATAAATTTCAAACAGTGCAGTGAGGATATATTACCGTTATCTTGTAAAGCTGAGACTTAGAACTGATGTCCTAAGGTGGGTGGCGGCATTTGGTTTTGTTGATGTCTCTGGTCTTCAGTAACCACTTAGCATTGGGTGAACCGTAAGCTCGTCCACCCACCTAAGCAAAATCGCGAAGCGGGAAACTCACAAAGAACCTATCATAGGCTTACCTTATATTCAACTCTAAACTCAGTTTCCATTCGACTCAGACGTCCCAACTCCCAAGACAGCTGGAAAGCCGTCAGCAGTGGGTCAGCTGACGATAACGCTATGAGTGAAGGCGAAGAAAGCGCGCGATATGCGTTAATCCGAGCCTGAGAATGCCGCAGAGAATCCTCTTGTGAGGACTTCACGCATTCGTCGCAACCGCATCTGATTGAATAGTTTTTAAAAGCTTTAATTAGTAAATCCAGATCACAAATATCCTTGGTTTGTTCAATGAAGTACCGATTGCGTTGAAACAGCAGCTGCATTAATATATTAAGTTTTTTTATCGTAGGTGCTGAAGGGTAGAGGTCCTCAAGGTTCTCCGGCGTAAACTGGTTATCAGAGCCTATAGAAATTACAATGTGATTTTAAATATTTTTCGAATACATAACCGGACGGTGATGGTTCAAGCTTTTCATAGTCCACGGGAGCTCACAAACAGTCTTATTAAATTAGGGATTTACTTATTACCACCCATCACTCTAGAGCGAAGTAAATTTCTATTACCAAGAATCTATTAATTCGTAATGCTTTTGAAAAAAGAATTTTTACCACTTGCAACCTTTTGGAGTTTGTACTCTCCCATCTACGTGCTTCTGAGCGCTTTTTAATGTTCTTAATCGAACGAGGTTCGAAAAGGACTGAGTGGACAGCGGTAGTCCAGTAGCGGCATCTAGTATCAATGATGTCTATGACCAACATTAGCTACTTCCTCCGTGCGTAGTGTTCCTCATTGCTGAGGATCGTGACCTTTACGGAGTACATACGTAAAGGTTTTCTTGGGAAAATTGCTAGTGGTGGGATCCCGTGTCCTTCCACAGCAGAATCTCAGAGGTGATTTAGTTCCTCTTTCTTACCTTTAGCCTTACGTGACAGGAAATAAGTATTATATTTAACTGTTTTTTTTAAATTGGTAATTATTTTAAACAACATATTTGGTGATACAGTACGCAGTGAAAGGTATTCGCGATTGCTCAAGTATATTATAAGTCGCCAGATACACGGTGACTTAAAAACTAGTCTAACTTCTAGACTTGTTATCGTTGGAAGACGTGATTATTGACAGAAAGACCTGTACCTACTTGACGTCGTGTGGTACCGGCAGCGTCGCTCCTCTGTCTAATAAGATCTTAAGGATCTCGTAGTGGTTCCTGTGCGCTGCCAGTATCAGGGGCGTGATATCCGGAGTGAAGGTGGCACCGTCGGAATCCACTGATTCCCAACTCTATTTAATAAAATTAATACATTAATAGAGTTGTACAGTAATAATGATTGAATCAAGGCAAGCTTTGCCGTTAATATCCTAATTTGAATTAGACTTGTTATGAAAATTCGCACGATATGGTAATATAGTACACTGACCGAAATTACTGATATCTTATTATTTAGGCAACAAATCGCAAAATGTCTTATTTAAAATAAATAAAAACATGAGAATACATGAATCTTTATTGAATGGATTTAGATATTAATAGAAGTCATCATTTACAGTTTCCACCCACAAACCATAAATCTTTTGTAAATAGTTTATCTTAGAACAAGCATTGTAAGTAGACCTTGCTTTTAGTAAATCACCGATTTCTAAAATGTGTACGTGTATGTGTATGTGTAAAATGTGTGTGTGTGTGTATTGCTGGCTTATTTATTGTATGTATTTATATTTTACTCTTTAGTAAATTTCAGTTATTATTCTTATTTTTATTTTATTATTTTTATATTCTTTATTATTAAATTTATGCTGTATTTTTTTTTATTGCTTAGATGGATGGACGAGCTCACAGCCCACCTGGTGTTAAGTGGTTACTGGAACCCATAGACATCTACAATATAAATGCGCCACCCACCCTGAGATATAAGTTCTAAGGTCTCAGTATAGTTAACGGCTGCCCCACCCTTCAAACCGAAACGCATTACTGTTTCACGGCAGATGTTGCAATGTAATGATTTATCTACTCACATAAGGTTCTCCAGGCTCGTAATGTTCCTCTTCCCATTGCAGCAGCAATTCTACAGCTTCCACATATTCTTCTTTGATAGCGTGGAGCAGAGCATCCTAGAATAATAAAAATGTGATAAGGTTGTTTAAGAAGTCATGAGTAAACAGTGAACCACATGTTTTTTTACGTTATGCTACAATATATTGAAATGAAACTCATCAATTATACTATTAGCACGATATTGTTACTTCGACGATGAAGTTTTATATTACTTTCAATACGTATTTAATAAGGAATCAGAGACTGTCTCACTTGTTATTACGAGATACATCGGGCGTCCCAATAGGTCAAACTATTTTAAACTTGAAATAGTTCTTTGATTATTTTATACATTGAATAAAAGCGAATTTAAACAATTATTGAAACACAGCTCTTGATGAAATGTAATGAAAAGTCTTTCAACATCAAACAATCACTAAATGTTGTGTGGTCGTTTAAAACTAAAGTTTCTCATTAAAATTGTTATTATTTCTTAAGCTACTCTGAGTCTGCGAATGCTTAAAGACTGCGAAGTCATAGATGAACTTTGATATTCAAAGTTTCTTAGATTTCGAATTATGAATGAAACAACGCCAGTCCATTGTTGTCGTGGCTAGATCAGTTTAGTAGGGAATGTTTTTTCTTCTTATGAGGGCTTCAAATCATCTAATATGTATTTACGATTTAAAACGTTATATATTTTGATCGAAATAATGTTGTAAGACATTCATTCATATTTCTTGCAGACAGAGCAACCACAGAAGTGTTGAACGCAGACAGGAATAAGTCGGAATACGAATGTGTTCTACAATATTTTATCAGATTCTATGAACCCGATTCCATGGTTTTGCGGCCGAAATAGGCACCTAAGGCGTTATAACTATTGTTTTTAATTTTTTATAACCATACTGATTTACATTTACGTTTCTATCAAATAGACATCTTTTCTATTTAAAGACTTAAAAATTTCGTCAATCATACCTTAATAAAAGCAAGATTAAACCGTAACCGTTCAATCGAGCCGTGAAATCTCAACAAATAAACTCATTATCGTGTTTGTAATAATAATTGTAATATGGATCTGTAGTATGGATTTTAATATCCAAAAACTTATGAAAAACAATGAAAAGTATTTTTCAGGCACAAGAAAATTGTTATTTCAATTTTGATTTCCACAAGAATCTCATTATTTATTTATTTATTTATACTTTATGCACAAAACAAAACTTGTACACAGGTGGACTTAATGCCATGGGTATTCTCTTCCAGTTGACCATAGGGTGGTGCAGAGATAATGCATGGTAGGTGCATTAACAAAGAATAACAAACAACAACAAAACAAAAAAAAGAACAAAATCAAAACAAAAATCTTACTTAAATATACTAATTATACATTTTTTTTCTCAAATAATCGTAGAAAGTTTTCATGGAACTATTTTATGATTTAGTTCCGGCAATATTAGTATTTTACGATTTGCGAAACAGTGTACAGAATCCAATTTCCAACATTCGGATGAATTATGTGTTTTTGCGGCTGATTGCGTGTATTTGATATTTTCTCTCCTTAATGAAAATTGTTAAACTGCAGAATATAGGTACGTTAATAGTCGGTGACATGAAATATACAATTTTATTTTTGAACATGTCTTGTGCGGTTTTCAAAATTCCTTACATAGAAAAAGTAAGTTCCGTAATTAACATAACAACGACTAGCAGTAAATTACACTATTTTACATCAAACTCACCATTTGTTTGCAAAGTGTGTTTATATATACTAGTGGTCCCGCAGTAGTCGAAATTCGACTATAATTAATTGGAATTGTAAGTTTGTACACTATTATGATTGTATTTTATACTTCTATAATCACAAATTTCGCCAAGACTACACTATAAAAAATATTAACAAAGACAAACAATATTTAATCTATTCTCAATTTGACAATAGACGTCAAGAACAAAAGTTTGACAATAAATAAATAGTATGCATGATGCATGCGTGCGTGTGTGCGTCAAATACATGGTATGTAGTGTGTGTAATGTTTTCTTTATTGATTTAATGTATCTTTTACATATGCATTATTTAAAAAAAATATTAGCATTGTACACTTCTTCTCTATATTCTCTATAAGTGTGGAAAATTTCATACTCCTCCGTCTGCGCAATTTTTGTAAAAAGGGATACAAAGTTTTTGCTTCACGTATTAATATAAAGATATGTATAGTTTTGAAACTAATTATTTTCAAATGCGATGCATTTATGGGCCATTTCGTAAGCTTTATGATTAGTTTAGACGTATTTATTATACGAAGAAAGTTTATTGTGAATCACAAAATATTCTTACAAATAATGATATTTGAAAAGTTACAATGTAGGAAAAAAAATCTAAACTTCTAACTGGCTCAGTTTAGTCACCAGTCCTTAGATGTCTGGCCGGGCCTGGGCTACTGACTAAACTATCCACGTCGGGGAAAGTCTGGTCAATCTTGGCTAAAAGGCTATTAATTACGGAGCAACTGGCAGTTGACAATTCTACTTATAACTGGTTTCTCAGGGCTAAGATACGTCCTTTATCCTATCATATTAAAGTCGGCAAATACTCCTTGAACCATCGTCTTCAGCGTTAGGATTCCTGCCAAATATTAAGCTCTCAAGCTACAATCAATAGGAAAATAAATTTATTTTTCTTCAAAAATAGAGAACTGAATACATAAACAGGGTCGATGTAGAGGATGTTTTTGGTTTTAAATTCATAATTCTGTCACAGTTTAATGTATGTATGCGTAAAATTTTAAAGTAAACCTCATACATAGGTCAAGAGGTTTCTTATGTTTCATCACTTTCATATTATCAGTAAAACTTATAACTTGGTTAAAAGGTAAAAGGCGTGTTGACTATAATTAAAAAAAAAAACATTTCAAAGTGTCTCTTATTAAATTTGATATATTTAATGACATAGTTCAGATGATTACCAAGATTAAAGCGATAAGCGAAAGCGACACTTTTTTGTTGACAGTGAATTTATTTGGGTCTTAAGAATAATAAGTTATCATCCGCTTTCATAATGAAATCGTAAAAATAAACATCACTAGCTCCGACACAAATTAACCTAAGGTCCGCATATGTTGAAAATAAAATTAAAACCAGTCCCAGCTTCTCTCTAATCTGATTGTTGAAGGCGCTCAAATAAAAATTCTCTGTCGCACACGTGTGAGAGAATAACGCCATAAAACGACCTGCGGAAAGGGTAATTTTAGAAATTAAATTCTATTGTATCTTTCCCCCAGCTATTCACTTATGGTAGCATAAGAGGATATTGCAGCTACATGCGGATTGGTAGGTGAACTCAGAGCCTGAGGGAATATGCTAAGACTAACCCTAACAAGAGCAGTGCTTCGCAGAATCTACTACCGGATCTGAATGGCGAACCACTGAGCAGATCCGGCGAGAAGTTCAGTGGGTCAACCATTTATACTATCTGTTAAAAAGTATTGGGGAGATAATATTTGGCAAACTTATACAAGCATGAACAGTTTCCACCAGATTGTAGCTGGATCAGCCCTAGTTCAGAACTTTAAGTGGCCATTACTTATCTATGAGACAATTTTCTTACTTTTAAATTTTCTTCTTTTGTCATCATTTGCGAAAAAAAGACAAAACGAACGATCAAAGACATGATGTTGTTTATTCAAGTCTTTATAGAGGTTATTATGTCATTATTATTTTTCCATTCAATATTATATTTTCGCTAATAAAAAGAATCAGCAAGAATCCTAGACCCTATACTCATCATCCATGCTTCATAGTTCTCTGTGCTAAATATGAATAAATCTGAGTTACTGTATCGACATCTGTAGCCGTTTATGAAAATATACCGCAGATGTGATCATGCAAACTATCCGAGCAATGATTTCCCGCGGGACAAAGATCTCCGCGAGTCGAATACTAAGAAATACGTCTTTTTTGAGACAAAACCGAATGGGCAACGGATTTATAAGTGCTACTTTGGTTGCATAAATATAGAAAAATATGTTTCTGCGTTTATTTTGTTTAACATAATCGACTTTCCCTTGCATTTTGTCGAATTATTTTAACTAGAACCACTTTACAGGTTTAATTTCAAGTTTTTTTATTTCATTTTATAACAAAGTTTCAAGCACTTTGCAATTTTCGTGGTCACGTGTGTGACTGACCATCGTAAATCATCGCGATGCACGTGAATGTACCTAAATAGGAGGCATTTTTAATGATTTCTTTTACGACCCCTAAAATTTAAGGAATATTGAATGTATTTAAACAATTTCCATCATACTTCTAATGCGAAGAAGACATTCGTGCTGGCTTGTAGATTGGGACGGGCCTTATACAAATCAACCGAGACCTCGATCTTACGTCTTAGGATGGGCGATGGCTTTCCTGTTGTGACATCTATAGCCACACAACATCAGACGGCTCTTTAGCTTTCTCACCTATCTAGGGCAATTTAAGAAATGCCAAAATTAATTAACGATTTTCAAGCTAACAACATTTAAAATATTTTGTAATTAAGAACGCGGTGAGATGAAAATAAATTTCATTTAAGTCTATTTGTGTCAGAGATTTTTACGTGTTTTTGTTCAGCAAATGTTCAAGCAGCTATTTGGAATCTAATAACCAGTGTATAAGACCTTCATAAGCGGTCTCCCGACGGTCGTCAGGACAGTTTGCTCTGTGTGGGTAGTAAAAGGAAAATTACAGAGTCCAATGAAAAGGGATTTGTTTAAGATATCTATGTGTTTTTTCTCTGTAAGGTTTGAACTCGTGGCTGAGAAGTTTTTTTTTTATTACCCTTATAGACAGACGAGCATACTGCCCACCTGTTGGTGAGTGGTTATCATCGCTCATGGACTACAGCAATGTCAGGGGCAGAGCCAAACCGCTGCCTACCGTTAAAAGCTAAGATTGAAATTCCAAATGTAATTTGTCATGTCTTTTATGACATGGTTATTGGTTTTTCTTGAAAATGTTATTGTGATACTTTTAAATGAACTCTAATTATTTGGATGCTAGTGTGCACATTACTCCACCTATTTTTTTATCGCTTATATTTGTGGATGAACTCACGGCTCCGGTTTTTGTTACCGAAGCCCACATATGGCGACATAAGTTCTAACTCTCAGTTATTACAGTACAATAACTGCCACACCCTTCAAACCGAAACAATTTACTGTTTCACGGCAGAAATAGGCGGGGTGGTGGTACCTACTACCCGCAGGTAGTATTAGTAGGCAGTAGGGGGTCACAAGGCGCCCCCCCCCCACACAAGTGTCGGCGGAAGATCATTTGAAGGCTACCGATATTGATATGTTACTGTTTAACATTGCTAAGCCGGTAGACGTTTTCCGAGTCATGATTTTTTGTAGCTTCTAGATTTTTCTATATATTTGGCATAAGGGTTTGGTATTTATTTTATCTATATTATTATTATACTAATATATTATTAATCATTTTATACCTTAACTTTGATTCCCGATCCAAGAAGTAGTTTGATGAGTTCAATATTCTCGTTCTCAATTGCAGCGATGAGGGCCGACCTATTGAGTGGATCCACACAGTTGATGTCCAGTACCTCTGGTTTTCCAAGGTTCTGCTCAATCAACCTGCGGGAGAATGTTTTTCGCATAAAAATTTCTCTCAGACAAAAGCAATTTTAAGGCATATTATGTTTTTTAGTGTTTTAGTTAGTAAAGAGAAAAATCACTACTAGAAGGGAAAGTCCCATTTTGGGTTTCAGAACAATCCGGCGTTTTAGTTTCAACTTCCTGTAAGTATCAAAATTACTTGGTGTATATATTTTTTTGTATTTATTTGTTAGGTGCACAAAAATAATAATATAATAATTATATTTATAAAATCTACGTAAATTAACATTTAACTCAAATTTAAAAAATGGATAAACTATTTAATTTACCCTTTTTGGATGTGAACACAGTATGCATGAGGTCGATTGTGTTAAAAGTCTTTAGAGACTGTGTAGTGTGCAGTTACAAATATAAGGTTAGGTGAGCTTNAACACAGTATGCATGAGGTCGATTGTGTTAAAAGTCTTTAGAGACTGTGTAGTGTGCAGTTACAAATATAAGGTTAGGTGAGCTTTTTTTTAAAAAGAGGGGAGGTGTAGTGTGCAGCTCACCTAACCTTATATTTGTAACTGCACACTACAACTGATTTTTATTTATTAAACAATAAAATAAAAATATACTATGGCGCAAATAAGTCGTAACTAACTATGCTCTTAGTTACATATAACTGAAAATGAAAACTAACAAATAGCACACAACAATTAAAAAAAAAAAAAACAGAACGGAAATGATTTAAAAAAGGAATAATTTAATTTAAATCCGGGCGTTTTTCGCCCACTGAACGGCAATTAGTCTCCTTCGGATAGTCTGCGGACGTATATTTCTATTTTTACATCGTGCTAGGTAAACGTTTTCTAACATAAACACTGATGTCACTCACGAGCATTAGCCTATTAAATTGATGTTCAATTGAAACATCTCGTTGTATCTATTGCTACCTAACGCGTTCGATACATCGATTACGCGATTTCAGTGGCGCGTTCATGATTTGTGTAAGGGCGTTTCTGGAAGGTGAGATTTTTATATAGCGACTAGCTGACCCGGCAGACTTCGTAGTGCCTCAATCGATAAACAAAAGACCTAAGCTTTTGTATCAAAATAAACTTAAAACAAACAAAAGGAATCCATCAGGAAAATTGTTATTTTTATTTAATTCCGAGTATTTTCATATTTATCTAAATTTTAAACCTTCTCTGGACCTCCACAAATAATTCAAGACCAAAATTAGACAAATCGGTCCAGCCGCTCTGGAGTTTTAGCGAGACTAACGAACAGCAATTAATTTTTATATATATAGATATTATAGATATATAGATATTACCATTTTTTTACTAAAAAATAATTGACTTAATTATTGAATTAAAAATAATTACTAACGTTAATTTTTTTGTTAGCTTTAGATGGGTGTTCGGGTTGCGGTTCATTTGATATTTGGTGGTCGCAAAAGCTCGTAGACTTCAGAACGCGAATGTCATCCAGATTGAGATATGAGATCGAAATCTCAATTGGATAGTGTTTGTATCCACTCAAAGTTTTTTTCTACAATCGCTGAATGCCGATTACGGTATGCTAGGGTGCTGTTCAGAGGATTTTGCCCAGCAGTGGTCGTATGTTGGCTGAGCCCACTGAGTTTCTCGCCGGATCTTCTCACTGGGTCGCGTTTCCAATCCGGTGGTAGGTTCTGCGAAGCACTGCCCTTGCTAGGGCCAGTGTTAGCAACGTCGTCAGGTCTGAGCCCCGTGAACTCACTTACTTGTTAGGCTACGCCGACATAGCCTCTAAAGGTTATTAGCTTAGGTACTGTCAATCCAAAGCCTACTATCCTTTTAGTATAGTAGTACTGACTTTTCTAGTACAGGCTTCGGGTCTATAGCGTGATTTTTATTAATTATATGAGCAAGTATTTGATATCTTAGTGTATTCATTTGTTTTTTTCTCGAATGTGTATTTTCGTCACACAAAATAAAATACTAGCTTAACACCTGCACTATATGCATATAAAATACATATTATTTCTCAGCGTTTATAACCAAGACATTGATGGTAAACCAGTAAGTACAGTTATGTCAGTACATTAGGTAGGAGTTAGGGGAAGGACTAGGTGAAAAATAATGGAAGGTTCTGCTCTCCCGCTCGACTATTAATGACTAGATATAGATAAAAGTTAAAAAATATTTTTTTTTTTTTTTTATTGCTCAGATGTGTGGACGAGCTCACAGCCCACCTGATGTTAAGTGGTTACTGGAGCCCATAGACATCTACAACGCAAATGCGCCACACACCTTGAGATATAGTTCTAAGGTCTCAGTATAGTCACAACGGCTGCCCCACCCTTCAAACCGAAACGCATTACTGCTTCACGGCAGAAATAGGCGGAGCGGTGGTACCTACCCGTGCGGACTCANCGTCGCAAGCGACGGGTTCGACGAGAACGGTGACCGGTGCTTGAAGTACCTAAAAGCACCGTTAGTGGATCGGGAGGATCCGAGATGACGTGTTTTGGGCGACGTCGACTGCTTTCCATTCTGTCCGCAGGATCGGGAATGTAGTTACCGGCGGCCACGATGAGAGGGTTCTCGTGTCGTGCCGCTTTATCGAAGTGGACTATTAATGACTAAATATAGATAAAAGTAATAAATAAATTAAAGATAAATAAATAAAATTAGATCGATAGCACGATTTTTTATTCGAGTTAAGTAAACAGCGAAAAAAAACACGATTCCAATCGTACGCACACATCGTTTGTACATAATTGAACACGAAAACCTACAAGTGCTTTCCGAAATTGGAATTATTCTTTGTACAACCGATCAGAATCACTACAAGAGCAGACTAATCCTATTTATCAATTTCATTAAGCGCGTGGATTCCTTTACGTGCTCCAATTCGTCAACCGTTTGGTTTTTGTTCGGAGTTACGTGCTTTGTAAGTCTATGGATTGTCCTATAACAGCCTATTTTAGTCCACTGTTGGACTCAGCTTCCCCCAAAGCACGCGACGCTTTAGATTAACTTTTTAAAAACACATCTTAGACCCTTAGGTCTAAATTACTAGATTACTGGGCAAATTCTCAGTTCAGTTCTGTTAAATCGTTGAGTGAATACCATAAACATTAAGATGTATAAATTGTAGTCTAAATTGTTTCATATAACGAAAAAAAAAATTGGATCACGGGATTGTTAATATTAATAAATAACTACGCGGTAAAAGTGGGTAAAACGATGATATCTGGATTGATTTAAAATTTTGGAGATATATTTAAAAAGATAAAATGTTCCTATTATTATTTTCGAATCACCGACTTGATCTGAGCATCGTCATTCAATCAAGTATTACCATTATCTTCTAGATAAAAAAATAATACTATAACTGAGATAAATAAAGAATATTTTTGGAAAATTAATTAATTGCACAACATGCTATTCGGTTAAAAACCTTAACTTGTTATTGTAAGAGGTTCGATGTTTTTTTTTTTTTCAAAGGAAAATGTTTTCACTGTTTGAAAACTGCCCGAGGCTGAGTTCAAAATAAGGTTTCGTTTCATGCAGGATGGATATATCTTTTTGTTTTTGTGTAAAATAAAGGTAATTTTCCGTTTTTCGAAATTTTTTATTTAATAATTAATTTTCTTTGTGTACGTAACAGCCGTTGAGATATCATTATGTTGTTATATGTACAACTGACAATTGTGGAATCATTGTTTCTTATATAGCATCTTAATATGATTTAATTGTATAGCTTGCAATGTATAATTATATCTACGCTATGGAATATATTTTTACTGGTGGTAGGACCTCTTGTGAGTCCGCACGGGTAGGTACCACCGCCCTGCCTATTTCTGCCGTGAAGCAGTAATGCGTTTCGGTTTGAAGGGTGGGGCAGCCGTTGTAACTATATTGAGACCTTACAACTTATATCTCAAGGTGGGTGGCGCATTTACGTTGTAGATGTCTATGGGCTCCAGTAACCACTTAACAACAGGTGGGCTGTGAGCTCGTCCACCCATCTAAGCTATAAAAAAAAAAAAAAAAAATGGAAATGCTTAGCTTAATTTTGATTAGCTTCAAGATGTGCGATTAACTTGAAGACTTGTTTCCAAATTCAAGTTCGAAGAACGAAGAGAAGAAAACTTTAATTAAAACTTATTTATACGGTTTAGTCACGCATTTTGTTGTAATACTATTTCCGATGTTTTAAATAGTAGTTATGCAGTTTTTGAGGCCGCGTTTTTAATTGAATAGGTAGTTATTAGTATTTTTAATTATGACTACCTTCGTGAAAAACCAAAGAAAAAACTGAATGTCCATTTTGATCCAATTCGATTTCTTGCCTTTTTAACACAATTGTTATTATTTCAATATCTATCTAAATAAGTGGTTATTTAAGATCTGCGATGAGAAAGACCAAGACGTGCTAACTTAGAATTCAGTTGTACCAAGAATGTTTTTTTTAGCGAACGAGTCGTTAGGAATGTCTCGAGCCCTGTGAGCTTACGTACCAGTTCAGAATAATGTAACAGTACATTATTTAGATATTCTTTCGGTTTCGTTTTTTGTACAACATAAATACAATCACTACATAGTATAAAACAAAGTCGCTTTCTCTGTCCCTATATCTGTCTGTCCCTATGTATGCTTAAATCTTTAAAACTACGCAACGGATTTTGATGCGTTTTTTTTTTAATAGATAGAGTGATTGAAGAGGAAGGTTTATATGTATAATAACATCCATTAAATAGTGGAGAAATACTGTTATTTTTGAGGTTTCTAATGTGATGTCGTAAATAATCAATAATAAAATTTTATGTTTCCGAAGCGAAGCGAGGGCGGGTCGCTAGTAATGTATAAAATAATAAAAAGAGGAGAGCTTACTAGAATCAGTGTAAAACTACACTACTACAACTAAACAGTTGTATTTGTCAAATTTATATTAAGTAGGTTCAACCAGATTTATTTTATTAATATAAGATACTAATATATAAAATATGCAGCGGAGCAAAAAAAGTGTATCGATTTGTGAGACATTATTTAAGCAACTTCAATAGACTTGTAGTTTAAATTAAAGTTAATAGAATTAAATAAACAAACACTATCACGCTATTGAATTTTTTTTACATAACATTTCTGTAAAACTATTTAAATTGTTACACAAAAGAGCCTTTGAAGACTCCAAGTTGAAATCACTTTAAATTTTTTTATACCTTTTTACTGTGACGTAGTCCCCTCTGTCAGCATGCAGCAAGTATGTCTTCTCGACTCTTGTCAGAGGGCGCTCGCAAGTAAAGCGAAGGTCATGCTGACTGTTCCTCAGGGCTTCCTGGGAGCTACCCAGGAGCTCTTCTCTGGAGCCGCGGTTCATGCTTGTCTAAAAAGAAAAAAAACGGATAGAAATGATCATGACAGAATCATTTCTTTAACTGTTACGATCGGAGAAGTGATGCACAGACGAACACATATACTCTTTTTTATTTATTTTTTTATTGCCTACATGGGTGGACGAGCTCACAGTCCACCTGGTGTTAAGTGGTTACTGGAGCCCATAGACATCTACAACGTAAATGCGCCACCCACCTTGAGTTATAGGTTCTATGGTCTCGGTATAGTTACAACGGCTGCCCCACCCTTCAAACCGAAACGCATTACTACTTCACGGCAGAAATAGGTAGGGCGGTGGTACCTACCCGTGCGGACTCACAAGAGGTCCTACCACCAGTAAAAATGAACTTTTCATATTGTATTTATTTTCTATAGTATAATCGGACCACGATGGATCAGTTCCGTCCTTAGTATAAGCATTTGTAATATGAAAGCGATGAAGGAAACACCAACAATTATATTTAACCTAGAAATATAATCAAAGCAAAAAATTTAACAACACAAAGCTTTTATATTCGCAGGACTTCTGTCGGTTCCCAGACCTACCACCAGTAATTACGCAAATTATAATTTTGCGGGTTTGATTTTATTACACGATGTTATTCCTTCACCGTGGATGTCAATCGTGAACATTTGTTAAGTACGTATTTCATTAGAAAAATTGGTACCCGCCTATGGGATTCGAACACTGGTGCATCGCTACATACGAATGCACCCGATGTCTTATCCTTTGAGCGACGATGACTCGATGTTAGGCAGACAGATAATACACATAAACTAGTTATAGATAAGCAACTCAAGCACTCAACAACAATGTTTACGGGCATCGGCCACTAGATGGCTTCGCTTCGATTAGTTTCTCATTGCTCCTGTAAATGGCAGTAACATATTGCCTATCCTATATTTTATTTTTAATTAAGGATTTTATAAATTTTCAGAAACCACTAATTGATAAAATTTAATCTATTTGTCTATAATAAATAAATACTTGTATGATTTATTAATTTTTTTTTTTTATTTTCTGTGTTTAGTCACGCAATAATTAAATGTCTTAACTTTAGCAACGTATAAGATTAGGGGCATCCGCTACAAGATGTCGATAGTTTCCATACAAGAAAAATATTTTTCTTATAGTATCGCAGTTTCAGGACCATGGTTAGGTTAGTTTGTAGACAGCGGCTTGGCTCTGACGCTGGCATTTCTGAAGTCCATGGGCGACGATAACTACTCACCATCAGGTGGGCCATATGCTCGTCTGCCTACAAGGGCAATAAAAAAAGTTACCGCAATCCATCGACATTACAATGTATAAGCTATCCGACTAGATTGTCATCTAAATTGCTACAAAGACCGTCCTACTCTATAAATCAAAATGCCTTACCTGGTGGTATCTACCCGTTCGAACCTAACTATACAGCCTAGCCTTAGCGCAAATCATTCAAAGCAATTTCGTTTTCATAATACAATGTCATGTCATGTCATGTCGGTAGGAAGCGGCTTGGCTCTGCATCAGATAGGCTGTATGCTCGTCTGCCTACAAGGGCTATAAAAAAAATATCTTCATTGCGAAAGACGTTCATAAACACGTGTTCGGTACATGTTTCTTTAGAAACATTGACACCTGTTACCGAGATTTTAGATATATAGATAATAAGCATTCAGACAAAGAACTCACGTCACAGCCGGAGTCCCGCAAGGCTCCGCCCTCTCCCCGTTACTATTCAGTTTGTATATCAACGATATACCCCGGTCTCCGGAGACCCATCTGGCGCTCTTCGCCGATGACACCGCCATCTACTACTCGTGTAGGAAGAAGGCGTTGCTTCATCGACGACTTCAGACCGCAGCTACCACCATGGGACAGTGGTTCNACGAGCGAACTAACACATAGACACAGCCCACTGAGTTTCTCGCCGGATCTTCTCAGTGGGTCGCGTTTCCGATCCGGTGGTAGATTCTGCGAAGCACTGCTCTTGCTAGGGTCAGTGTTAGCAACTCTCCGGTTGAGCCCCGCGAGCTCACCTACTAACGTTAGGGTGAAGCTGAAATAGCCTCTCAAGGCTATCAGCATAGGTAGGAAAGAAAAAAAAAAAAAAAAAAAAAGGCGCTTACTACAGCGCCATCGAGTCAGTCAAATCTTTATAATATTCAGAATCCTATCTATATCTACCGCCCCCTTCTTTGTCGTGGTCACATTGTAATACTCGCTATGGTACTCGTCAAACGTAGACGTAATCAGGAAGGAACTTAGAAAGGCTTAGTTAAATTTATTCTCATCTATATATTAATACGTGAACCAAAAACTTTGTATCCCTTTTTACGAAAATTGCGCGGACGGAGGAGTATGAAATTTTCCACACTTATAGAGAATATAGAGAAGAAGTGCACAATGCTACTATTTTTTTTAAATAATGCATAAAAGATACATTAAATCAATAAAAAAAACATTACACACACTACATACCATGTATTTGACGCACACACGCATGCATAATAGTATTGTCAAACTTTTATTCTTGACGTTTGTGGTCAAATTGAGAATAGATGAAATATATTGTTTGTCTTTATTTATTTTTTTATAGTGTAGCCTTGGCGAATTTTGTGATTATAGAAGTATAAAATACAATCATATTAGTGTACAAACTTACAATTGCAATTAAATATAGTCGAATTTCGACTACTGCGGGACCTCTAGTATAAATAAAAAAGCTTGGGGTGCATGGTATCAGTAGTTATAAATATTTTATGAACAGATATGAGTAGAAGGGTTATTTTAATAATATCCTGAAAAGCACCCCACGCTTTTTTTTTTTACAATAAAATCACTTTTTCTTACACTATGTTTAATTTAAATTTATTAAATTTTTTACTTTTTACTTTTTAGTTGGATTTTCTATAAAAGCGTATTTTGTTAGTTTTTTTAAACTATTATTAATTTTTCATTTTTTAGTTGAATTTCAATTTTTTTTTTAAATATTGACTTGTCATCGGTCCTTAATAAGTATACCAAATTTCGAGTTAATCCGACGTTTTGAAGGGGGTCAAAATCATGTTCAAAGATTCCGTTACATACATACGTCTGAACCTAATAAAAGCGTATTAAAAACACGAATCATTTTGTTAATATCGGTGTAAGAAATATACCAGCTGAGCATATCAACATAAAATACTTGTATTTCTCGAGACATAATGTCGTAAAAAAATAAACGTGTACTACTAAAATAACACGACCAAACTTACGGACGGACAAGACAAACACACTCAATGTAATGATATGCAAATATTAAGCATTGTTGACCGAAAACTCTCGTCCGTTGTTTCTTTATAGTATACGAAAAAAAATCACAAGTATTTATGGATGTTCTTTAAGTATCTGTTGCTATTGTCAAATGTGATTAATTATGTGATTTTTCACTGTTTTTTTCTTTAGGAAGGACCGATTACTGGTGGCCTGGATGCCTTTCACGTTACACCAGCACATGTGGGCGAACACAGGCTCAGCCAGGAGGGGTGGGTTTTATTAACAGCTGGCGGAGTGCCTCCGAAGGAGACTTAACTGCTCAAGGACAGTTGCTTCACGAATGTATCTACTGCCGAATCGGAAAATCGAAGCAAATCTTTCGCTGGTGGTATATAGTGTACCTGTGAAGCCTAAGTATTCTAACTTCTATATCGTTCCCCTTCGATCAATATACTATTATTGATCGAAGTCATTTCCTCACTATTGAGGATCGCGACCACATGTGACGTTCTTCTACTGTGTTCGATCATGGGTGGTATGGACCGCATCGTACAGACTACCACCAAGTGCTTCCTTTACTGCGAGAATGCGGGGATTGTGATAGCCGAAGTTCTTGATGCGCTGATGATGAATCAGAAGGTTGCGTGTTCACATCACGTCGCAGGTCACTAGTTTGGGGAATGCTGAACGACGAAAGGGAAGATCTTCCACCGAGCAGGTGTTATTGCTCGGTAGACCGACGGTCCAAATGTTGTTGTTCGGAACTTGTATATATGCGCTTTATCTTGAAAATGTCGTAAGCGAGATTCAGGCATCTGTTAATTATCTTGCGTTGTATGATGGCTACCCGCCACAGATCTGACCATGTGGCTGGAGTTCTGCCCACGGCACGCTTGCTGCAATGATGAGCTCATGATTCATGTCTGGGAGACCGCATGATGTGTCCGCAGAAGCTCATAACACATTCCCGGCAGATGGAAGAGAGCCTTTTTCGGATGCTTAGCTCCCTTAGAATGGACTCGTTAGCTCTCATGGCAGTCCACGGTATTCATAGCATCCTAAGTATAAGTACATAGTACCTATTTCTTATACTGATAATATTAGTAGGCCTATTTGTGCCGCGAGATATGCGTTTCAATTCTAATGGTGAGACAGCCCATACTTGATATGCCCATCATATAACTCAAAATAGGTGACGCGTTTTAGTTTTAATGCTCATTGACTCCGTTGACAACAAAAAACGAGCCATCAGCTCCAGTCCAAACAAATCAACATTTTTTTCATATTTAATATCATGAAAGCGAACTATTACTTAGTTTATTTCAGCAAACCAAAAACATCAAGCGATAAAATCTATTAGTTAAAAGCTTAAAGAAATCTTTCAAATCGATTAAGAAAGACGAAAATTAACTTAAAATTAAAATTATTCTTCCAATTTATTTTACCAGCTGAGCAGCGTTATAACATGAAAATAAATGTTCAACTAGTTTTTATTGAATGAAATTTTTTTGCTACAAAATTGCATTTGTAGCGTTTTTTTTCCTTTTTTTCCTACTGGTTGGTAGTCTTGAGAGGCTATATCAGCGTTACCCCAGCGTATAGGTGAGCCCACAGGGTTAATATTTTCGTTGTGAAGCATTATGCGTTTTGGTTTGAAGGGTGGGCAGCAGTTGTATTGTAAAAACCAAAACTCAGAACTCGTGTCTAGTTGGATAGCGGTATTTATGTTCGTCATGTCTATGGGCTCC